TGTTTACTGAAGCAAACAGCTGCTGCTACTTTGACCCCAGTTTTCTACCAAAATGCATAACGACAGATGTTTTTCATGTCAGAGTCTATCATGAGTAATTGTGGAGTGCTAAGTTAGTAGTGATGTTATATCCCTCCTCAATCAGTGATGGCTGCAATACACATACACTGTTTTAATTTTGGCAATGTATGCTGCACAGTAGGTCTCTTGACAGGTGGTGATCATGTCTGTGCTGTATGTGTTAATGAGTCTGTGCCTGAGTGAGATCAGGAGTCAGTATGTGGGCATAACAGCGAGACGTGGCAGAGAAGTTACCTTGATATTTTAGAGATTAGGAAGTTTTAAAGAAAGTCAAACAGTGTGGGTTTTCTAAAAGAAATGCCTTATTTTAAAGCTTAGCAGATTTTAAGTGTAAAATTAGACTTTTTGTAAATAGATGTACTGTAAATAGATAGCTTTTAGTTTTTATTTCACATTTAACATGCACGTAAACCATCCTGCAAAAGGGTGAACATATTTGACAAAATGAAACCTTTGTCTGTTTATATAAGTTAGTATTATTTTTTTCTTCTTTAAATTGTCATGTATTCATAAACAATGGCATTGTCAGACATGCTTCCCTAATGGTGCTTGACCATTTTTAGTACACAGATTATTTGATAGAGAACAATGTAACAGAATACTGCAGCTATTACTATATTTAGTACATATACATGCGTACATACATACAATACAATTAAATGAGTACACAAACATTAAGGAGTTTCAGAGGTTGCATTGCTCTGTGGAATAGAGAGCACCAAAAGTCTCATATTAATAATTGAATTGAATGTGAAATATGGAGGCACGTGCCTCATTTAGTCTTTAGACTGTTCTGTAACATCCAAAATTGGAGCCTCTCTGGACCTCACCCAGGAAGCAGGCATATATGAAGGCCGTGCTTTGTTTTAAAAGCAATCAGTAAGATACCAAAATCAATTCAATTAATAAGTAACTGATGAAGTTATGTCAGTATAGTGGCTGTAGCTCAGGTGGCAGAGCAGGTCAGCCACTAACCAGAAGGTCGGTGGTTCGATCCCAGGCTGCCTCCTGGCTGCGTGCCAAATATCCTTGGGCTGAATGTAGTGTAAAGCGCTTTGGGGTCCTATGGACTAGAAAAGCGCTATACAAATGCAGGCCATTTACCATATAGATTTCTTACCTCATTTTAATCTCCAAAAATGAAAATTTTGAAATGAATATCATATGTATTTTTTTTTTTTGTTAATTATGCAAACAAAGATGGATTAACGATATAATTATGCATTCAGTCTCCCAAGGTTTGTACTGGGGGGATTTTCTTTCCCCCTAAATTTCCTTTTTTGTCTTTTTTTTTTTTTTTTTTGGAAAAAAAAAAAGGCAGGATAGCTACTTGTTTGTGTCTTGTTTATCAGATGCCAAGTAGCAAACTAGGTCAGAAATTAGCACTTTTTTGTTATTTTAGCTTATTATGATGGTATTGATATTGCTTGGGTGGGCTTAAACTGCAGTAGCAATGCATTTCCTGGAGACAGGTCTGACCAAAGTCATGGTTGAGGAAAGTAAAACCTTGCCTCCCACACAAAGGAGAAAATACATGTAACTGCATATCAAATATTAAAATATATGCAAATGAAATGGATATACTTCTTTCCAGAGATGTTGCAGTATTGCAGTTTTAGTGCTGTAAAAAGCCAGTAACTACATAGATAAATAGGCATTTTCATACATACAATTTAGCAATGTTTGGTCACAAAACATTTCTGGGACTGTTCAGAGTTTCTAAGGCAAACCTTCAAACACCTGATCTGGTTTAGCTTTTATACTAGCTGACTTTTTATGTGAATTTGTTGTTAGTGTTTTATCCCGCTAATTTCAGAAGAGAGCTGTGCATAATGACTGCAGCTATTTCCACTCAAACTCCTTTCTTCAACAATATGCCACCATTTCTACGCATGTGCTTCCTGTCTACTCCTATTAAAATGGGGAAAAAAATCTTTTCTTACTGGAGGTCTTTGTGCTAACCACATTTCTTTTTGTTAAATAAAAGAAGTACTTGGCAAGTTCTAGCCTCTGGCAACATTTGCAGTGAGATAACTTCCTGTTTAGCAACTTGTTAATATTTTCATGTGGTTTCTTGTGGCACCATGAACTCATTTTAAAAATGAAAACTGTGGCCACAACTCAAAGGACTGGACTCCATGCTAATACCAATGAGTGAAACTACCAATGAAACTGACTTTTTTTTCATACCAAGCTTGGAAACCTATCAGAAATGGGCCTCCACACTTATCTGCTGCCATCATCTATGGATGCCAGCATTATTGATATTTGGGATAAAAGTGAGCTCTCTGTGTTGTCTCTGTGGAGTTGGTCTGCTGTGAAGCCCAGATCAGAGGCGCTTCTGCCCAGAGATGACACTGACTGAGTCACAGGCTACTAAAGAGACTTGTTTTATTTATTTAGTACATACCGTATATAACACATGGCTAGGTCTGCACAGGTCTGACAGACTCTGGCATCTTCTCGATTGATGAGGAGGACAACTTTTTGCTGCGTGACAGAGATTGAGGGAGGGTGTGCTCAAAAAACTAGGAGTTTTGGCTGTCACAGCAGAAAAACTGAAGTTCAATTAACTTGAGAAAGAAAGAAGACTCTCTGTGGCCTCCTTTGTAATATTATCAGCTGCGTAATTTACAACCTGAGAGTTTCAAAAAAAAATGTTGCTCACCACTCAAGTTACTGAGGCAGATATTATGAAAAGCTGTGTTTTAGATTAATGAACCAGCAACAGGGGGCTCTTTTGACTTTTAAATTAAATTCTTAGAAGAACCATTTTTCAGGCTGAGTTTGGCCTAACGGAGACACATAATTTTTGGTCCTTGTGATCACAACACACGGATGCATCAAACCTTGACTACTACAGATGAGGATCGCAGTCATTAATATGAGCATGAAAATGCAGCAGCGGGTATTGTAATTATAATGCAAAAGCTTCCATCGTAACTCCATCTGTGCTCCTTCTTGAGGATCTTCGAGTCTGAGTGACTAATGACTAAATGACTAAACCAGTTTTATGAAATGATAAAGTACAAGATGTTGGGGGCACCAATTAAAAAGCCCATTAAAATACCACCACCCTCTTACGTTTTACAGCTGGTAGATTAGCAAGGCATGTCAAGGGCTTTTAGTCTCTGCAGAATTTCTATGTATACTTGTAAGTTTGCTAGCTCTAAACTTTAGTCACTTTTTCACACTTTGTCACATTTGAAAATCACTGGATTACGTGATCCATGATGTTAGGTACATGTAAAATGTACTGAATGGAAAAGGGTTGGAATTAAGGTAGTGGTTGAAATGTCAGTAAATGATAATGCATGAACACACTGTCAGATGTAAGGTATGTTTGGTCATTAGCTGAGCTGCTGTGCTAAAATCTTGAGCCAACAACTCATTTCTTTGTGTTTTGCTAGGGACAATACAACATGTGAAATAGGTGCAGGGATTTATTGAAATGTGCAAACATAAGGAAAAAACAAACATTTGCACAGTACTCTACTTATAAACAATTAATCTTGTATTGTATATGTATAAAGACAAACTGATTGTCTTAAATACAATTCATGTCAGTCATTTAATATTTTTAATCACAATGCGTAAAAAATAAATTTCTTCAAAATTATGTCACAATAGCAGCTAGCTGAGACAAATCTGAAAAAAAAAACATGTCCCCCCCCCACCCACTGTGCTCTCTGTGCAACTCTCTTCAAGAAGTGTTAAAACTGAGTGATACAGCCACAAAGCAGATAAAGGCAATGGCAGGTTTAGTTTAGACAGCTAGCCGTAACAAGGAGAGTGCCACTGAGTGTTTATTGTTGTAATGTTTTAAAGATATGATACATCAAATGTTGTTAAGACATGGACAGATCTTCTGGGTGTTAATATTTTTGTGGCTAAAACTAGTAAAAGTCGTAGCAGGATCTCATTTCAAAGCTTTTTCAGGTAAAGCAGTGACTCGTGTTTGGTTCTGGTTGTTTGTGATGGCTGCCACAAAGAATACTCTCACTATGTCACAATATGTGTGTATCTCTCAAGAACCCAAAAAGAAATGAACATAACCGGTGTAACTGTCACGGCCAGTGCAATGACATTTTCTTAAAAAAAAAAAAAATGTTTGCCCAATTTCCGTCAGTAAAGTGCCATTTTTCCATATTTGGTGTTTTCAATAAAGCTGTGTTGTGTACATGTTGCTCTAAATAAAACTGCTCAGGGCTTGAGCATCTAGGAGGTGCTGGGGCAGTAGGACGTGGGGTTGGCTGCTAGTTCCTGCATTATTAAGCTTCCAGTATTTATTTTTTTCAAAAATCTAATTTGGCCACTTAGGAGTCAACCAATCCTCAGATTTAACTGGCTTTACAGGATTTGTCCCAGAGGCTGTAGCAAAGTTTAATTACTCGCTGATTAAAAGCCGTAAAATATAAACCAGAAGGTGACTGTGCTCCCAGGGATGATAATTATCAATTTTAGAGATTTGCCTACATAATATGTGGAATAGTCCACAGAGATCTGAGGCAGTATTTTCAGTTATCTAAGGCAGACTTTGAATGTTCATATAAGAGTGAAACTTAAAAATCATTTTATGTTTTTCTTTGCAAAGTTATTTGAGAAAGGATACCCAATATTAAGCACATGACACATAATAAAAACAAAATTTGTACAGACTGCTGCTGTTAATGTTGGTTGCTGGTTGCCTAATGATGGCCATTTAAAGTTGTATGACCTTCACGTTCCAGCCTATTTGCTTTTAAATATTTTTAAAGCAAAATATTTGACCAGTATGTAGAATGAGTCCTTTAAAAAGCAATTTAATTGCATTTTTTTGACAAACCAGTTTACCGCATAGTATAATAAAATATTATTTAAGGTGAAAATCCTTTTACATCTTAGTCATTGATTTATTTATGACTGCTCTTCATTTATAGGTACAGTTTTGGTGGAAAACATGCAGATAAATGGCCGTGCCCAAGACCCAGGCAGAACCATCTCACTGACGTTGTTGGATAATTTTGACTACTGGGTGATATTGGAACCAGCACGGCAGAGACTCTACCTCAACAGCACTGGGCGTTTTCTGGACAGAGATGTGAGTACAGTACTGAGGGTTTATTTCTCAGCTTCCTCTTGCCTTAGTTATGCCAAATCATCAATACAGTAAGAAAATAAACCCTTAGCCATTCCAACAAATATGCAGCTGGGAAACAGATGTATGGATAGATGGATTTAGAATAACACAAGATATGGTGTAGCAACAGAGTTGCTTGTAATTTGTGTCAATAGGCCATGGTAATTCACTCTTAGCCTTAAAGTGATTCAATGACAAAAAAACAAAAATGTCCATGTGTCTGTGCAACACATTACAGGTCCTAAGTACATACACACCTGTGTAAATGGTGCAGTAAAGGATCCATGATGCAGGGTGCATAGTATTGCTGTCATAGTGAAAAGGTGTTTTAAAGCATGTGTTCAGATCATACGGACTAAAGAGGAGGTGAATGTGGAGCTATTAACAGGAATATGCCATAAATGCATATAGAATAAATAATAATGGAAGTACATGTGTGGGACAAAGCTCTGCAGCTGAAAAGAAGAGAAGCGATGGAGGGAGCTAGTTAGCCAAATTACACTATGTGGAAAGTTGACCCTTGCTGCTAAACTGAGATGAGCGTAGTAATGGCAGTATGATGAGATGCTGCCTTTCAGTATAGTGTATTTGCACTTTCATCCTTTATAATAGTTTTCTTACACTGCATATTCACAAATAAATATTGGGCTGCCCCTGGTAGCCTAACAAACAATCGCCCTCATTAGGTTTTACCAATGCTATGCAAGCATGATAGCTAACAAGCAGAGTTCATACTGGAACTGTGTCGCTTTCCACTGTTGTTATTAAGTTATTAAGTATGCCTATTGCTCTTTACAAACTGTCAGATACAATACGCTGTAGGTTATTATGACTCCATTATATAAGAAACATGGGAATTAGAACTCTACAATTTCCACAGTGTTATATAGCATTTTTTTTCTTTCTTGTTATTTGTTTTTAGCCCCCCAACTCCATCAGTACCATCGTGGTTCAGGTGCAGTGCACAAATCAGCTGGTTGGTACTATCATCTTGCATGAGGTACGGATTGTTGTGAGGGACAGGAATGACAACGCCCCTCGCTTTCAGCAGCCACGCTACTATGTCGCAGTAAACGAGGTAAGGGAGCAATTCCTTGCCCCTATGCACGAATCTTAAACACAGTGTACTGTCATGCGTTGCTGTTTGCCAGAAATGTTTGATAACTGTGAGGCAGAGTGGGGCAGATTTTTAAATCTAATGCCTCTTTCCTTTACATCTGAGACAATTTGTCAGACATTTAAAATAATGGTACGACTCACATGGCTGTTAGTTAATTGTTTGTTGTTAACAGCGTATTATTCATTGCCTATATTTAGTATTTATGTTTAGGCTTTGATATTTACACCATCTGCAACTCGCATACATCTAGTGAGCACTAGAAATGATAACCTTTTTTTTTTTTTTTATTCAAATACACCTGCAACACCTGCAGTGATTCAAGATAATGCATCAAATCTTCAGACTTTCTAGTCATATGTTTTTGAGATTAAATGAGAGCTCCCCGCTGAGTTCTAAGCAACCACAACTTCTGTTCTTTGCTGTTCACCCTTTGTGTGCTTTGCATGTTCAAAATTCCTGTCACAGTGTGTTATCATAGCCACGTGCAACTGCCCTAACAGTACAGTGAGTCAGTCTACATTGCTGTCAACTTCCCTGAACAAGATCTCCTGCCCACTGCCTGGTTCTGTGGACTTTGCTAAGGGCTCTTGGGAACAGCAGTGGTTCTCATACTTACTTTTTGTTATTCTGTCAGCAGTGCGCGTAAGCTTTCAGACTGCTGCTGACTCCAACATTTTCCCTTTTTTCCCCATTTTTTGGGGATATTAATGGGATGGAGCGGCAGCAGTAATAGCCATATGAATGTTCTTTCTGCTGTAAGTTGACGTTGTACTCACAGGGGGCTGTTAGAGCTGTTGACTTTTCTTTTTCCCTTGCATATTTTTGTCTAGCTCACACCACCTGGAACAACAATTTTCACTGGCTTCTCGGGAAATAATGGTGCTACAGACATTGATGATGGACCTAATGGACATATAGAATACAGCATCATTTACAACCCCGGAGACCCGGTATATGGACAGATCGCACATCATAATAAGCATCTTCTACACAAATGCAGATTTCTTTATTAATCACAGTCCATGGCTTTCTCTTTCAGGCATCTAACAGAACAGTAGCAGTCAGCAACAGCCTTTCAGGAAACATTATTTTGGCAGAGAGACTAAACTACGAGGACAGAACACGGTACCTGGTTTTGGTCCAAGCCAATGTAAGCAAACGCATCTGCATACACAAACAGCCTATACTGAGTTGAGTTGCATGAGTTCAGATTGACGAATGGGGTCATTATGTATAAATAGGCCATGATTTATAGATGCTTTTGAGTGTGTCTGCCTCCACAGTGCACTTGAGGTTAAAGAACTTTTGTTGTCACTAAAACCATTTCTCTAAATGTTGTGATATTTTATTTGAATTAGATCAAAATAAATATGAAGCCAGTAGCTTGCTGCTTTGATGAAGTCAGTGTACGCACATTTTGTATTTAATAGATTATATTCAGGTTGATCGTGATGCAGTGTTGAGAAAAATGAACCCTCCAGGGTTTTGTTTTAGTTTTGTTTTGCTTTAAGCTGCCTTCAACATAGTTGGTATACCAGAACAGGTTTGATTTATAATTTATTTAATTATGGATTTTTGGACAAGTGAAGGGGGGGGGGATAATTCTTAATTCAGTATGACTTGCACTGAAGCTTCCTCGCCATTCACTCTGAATAATTGATGTTGTGTGTTGCTAGTCTCATAATGATGGGCTGTTGCTTTGATTTAGTTGAGTTACTTACTAGTTACTAGTGAAGTGTTATGAAAAGTTTAACTTTTCAGGCACGAGCTGATTTGTGTTGATTCAAGTGTTCCAGCACAGGTGGTAGCCAATCACATCAATCAAAGCAACACCCAAGCTGAATGATTCAAAGCCTTCTCGGCCAACATCCAGATCTTAAAATATCGAACCTCTCCCCTGGCAACATGTACCATGATTCATATCATAGTATCTTTTCCTAATTACCCATTACAGAGCCGCTTTCCCTAACAAGCAGCGGTCAAATATAACACCCTATACTGTGAGGTGAAGTGTTGCAGGACAGATAATCATTTAACACTCAACTCGTACTCTATTCTCTACATTTCCTGCATGAAAGAGCAAAAGACTCAACTCTTTGAACTGGCGAGAGGTCCTCCAGGGGGATTTCATTTTCTCTTGCAAAAGGATGTCAGGGTAAAGAAAAGGAAGAAGACATGGTATTTACTAGAACTCTGCACTGCTTGTGTCAAGAGTTCAATTATACTGAGAACGTAAATCTTTGAAGTGCTGTGCTGCTCACTTCTCTGGATACCACTCAAGGAAGCAACAATACTACGGGGGAATCTTTAAGAGTAGCTGCGCCCTGTCGGTGTTTTATTGTACAGAGCTGTATTTTTGTGTAAGAAAAGATTCTTAATGAATGTTGATAAGTGCTCTTCAGTCTCATTTAAAGTCTGTAAAGTTGCTATGAAACAAAACATTAAGCAGGTCAGGCATCTAACTTTATAAACGGCGAGATAGTGTTAATTGATATTTCACTCAGAGGGTTTAGGTATGAGAAAAGCCATCTATGAAACTTGTGAGTTGAGTTGTATCGAAATATGCAAAGCATTTATAGAAGAAGTACGACAGTCTTCCATACTTTCTGTAATTTCAGTGCCCAATTCATCCTGCCAGTGTTCCCTGAGTGATTTAAAGATGGTTATTTAAAGTTGTGCAGATGTTTGGAGAAAAAAAATGACACACACCACCTTTAGTATATGGTTGGATACTCATGAGACACCCCGAAGTGATGAAGCTTTTTCTTGTACAGTGAGATATCAGCCCTTTAAAAATTGCCACAGTTGTAGAAAGTGAAAGAAATATGAAGGTGGAAGCTGAAATGCTTTCTGCCGTTGCCGAACAGCAGTGAGGCTATCATTTTAAAACATAGCTGGAGATGATGTATGTCTCCATTCAAGTTGTAAAGACTCAGTGCTAAAGAATTAGCGTAAATGCATGACTAAAGCTTGTCAGGGTGTTCAGGTATATTTCAGGAGATTTCAGTATAGACACATGAGACCAAATCATGAAGTAGTTTTGGATTCTTCGACTGCTTCAGAAAGTTACTCAATCTGTAGACATTTGCTTGTCTTCCAGGACCGCGCTCCATTCCCCCCTAACCGACTAACAGCTACCGCAACTTTGACTGTGGATGTCGAGGATGGAGACGACCTGGGTCCCATGTTCCTGCCTTGTGTTTTAGTGAACAACACTCGTGACTGCAACCCCCTCACCTACCATGCTGCTATCCCTGAATTCACTGAACCGGTAAGAGCCAGGCAGACAGGCAAGTGTGAACACACTGCTATTCCACAAGGTCATTTTAACAGATTTCCTCCTGCTAATATATGCATGTTTATGTTTTCATGCATGGAGGCTGGATTTTTACCTGTCATTCTGTATGTGTGCATATGCACAGTATACATGCTATTCAGATTTGTGAGACATTTGTGCCATATGTTCACATTCTTGTTATATGTTAATCTATGTCACGCCTTTTAAATACCCTAATTGCCTCATTATACCTTGTCTTTGCCTCCTCACCTGAAGACAGAGTACAATTTGCAGTTTATTACTGCATTTTGTTTTCCATTGTACTCACAAATTAAACTGAAGCATGAGATGACTTGGGATCACATCTAAAAACCATTGAGGGGAAAAAGAGAGGGAAATTCATATAGATCCGAGGTGGCGAGAGCAACTAGTGCACCAACAGAATTTATGTTAGTCTATACACGATTAGTTGTTTATTTATAAAACATATTTTATATTTGCTGTGTATCTCCATGCATGTAATAGTCATTAGAATGAACAAAAGTGAATCAAGCTGCGGTTTCCTCAGAGGAAGGTAGAAGCGCTCCTTTTATTTTAGACCTTTTTGTGTTGTGGTTAGCTTAAATATCCCCCCATTTATATGGCCATGAATGTGAATCTGCTTTCCAGTAGCCTACTCTTATTCCTGTATATGGTTAATGTTTTTCTTGTTATTTTAAGTATAATTTTCCTAACCAACACACTTATAGTTGGAGCAGCTGCATTGTGAGGAATTATCGGATTCATTTAGCTCAGCTCAGGCAGTTGCGAGGAAACGGTTTCATCAAGTATGGCTTAAGTGTACTGTGGTGACATGTTCCGAACATGAGAGATGAATGGAATCAAATTATATTGAATGGAGCCAGAGTGTGACACTAAATAACACAAAAGCCTGCAATAAAGACACAGTGGGATATATATAGATGGGTATTTAAAAAAAACAAAACCCTAAAGTTGCATTTTTTATTTAGGGTGGCATAGTGAGTCACAGTTGTTTGTCCAGACCTTCCATTGATAGTTTGTAATTTATTATTTATGATAAAAGGTTTTCAGACTGTTATGCAAGACACGGCAGCACCAGCTACACAAACCAAAGCTTTTCATCATCTGTTTAGCAGTTTGTTTGTTTTTTTCCTCCTGTGAACACAGCATGGGTTCACCATACCTCCTTACCCTTTACTGTCGATATACATGCTTATACAACTTCTGATTTGGTCTCTGATTGTTTGGGGGTTTTTTTCTCTTTCTTTTATTTATTTTTTGGGGGGAATTTTGCAGTGTAACACTAACATGTCTCTCCACTGGGAGAATTGTCTTCTCATAATTGATGAGTGTATTGTAATTAATCACAATAGCTAGACAGACATTATTAAGTTGATCTGTATTTATTTTTTGCCCTGGGGGGATATAATGTGGGCTCTGGAGTCCCCTGGATAATGACTGCTGAAGGAGGGTATTATAGCTAATCATCATTGTGCAGAGCTAGGGAGATTTGATTTAGCGCACCTCCAGACATTGTAAAAGCGAGAGGGTTGGTTGGGGAGGGGTGTAAGGATTACTCCAGAGCTGATGGATATAAATATACCCCCTCAGGGAGGGATTCTTCTTCCAGTGAGCTGTTAGCCATGTGCCTATCTACACTAAGGAAGTTTAGCAGTGGCCCCTTAGCATACACGCACATACTGTGTCAGCCATATGGAGGCGTTTTGCATGAGGAAAGGTATTCTTAAATGTGATGTGCTAAACATATTCCCACTTAACCATATGTTGATGCAAATGCATAAAGGTAAAGCCAAGGTAGTTAGTGCTGATGATGTATGAGTGTGCATAAGCGGGGGAAATTATCCTAAAGCACCACTAGCAGATTATCTTTTATGTCCAACACTATCAGGTACATTTACATGCATGGAAATAAGAAATCTATAAGCTTCGGTTCATTGTTTTCCTTATTCTTATCATTATGTTATGGTGCTTACCAACAAGCTTACTGAAGTATATAGCCAGCAGGTTATATATTTTTTTCTAAAGGTGAGAAGAAGAGTTGATACTATCAAAATGTGGGAAAGGAACACATGGCTGTAGCTTTCTACATTTCTAGTGTTATTCACTAGAGGCGCAAAAGAAAAGCCAGCAAGGCACAGCACTGCACAATAACAGCAGTTCTCCTATCAGTTAATATTAATAAGTGCTATAGTGTATAAGCAGGTGGAACTGAGGCGACGTCTAATCACAGCGGCTCTACTTTAAGGCAGAAAGCACTTTAATGGGCTGGGCTGAAAGCGTAGAGTAGCTTCTCTGGAGAATGCTGTTTTTATGTGGAAGAGCAGAGTTGCGAGGACTGTGCAAAACATCACATAAGATTATACAGCAACCAAAATATTGATATAGAGCACACAGAAAACTTTCTGGGGCAGATCTTTTTTTAAAGAGGAATTTTCTATTGCAGAACAGTTTCCGGGTTTTTTTTTTTTGCTCTGCATAAAAATGCAGTCAGAGTTATTTTAGGTGATCCATGCAACAGTGAGATCTAGAGGAAATTAATCAATTTGCATTTTGATTATGTTGCTGTATTGTTGACTCAGCCACCCCTTGTTGCAGAGCAAACTGAACCCACTGAATGTTACCCCTCCGATCCGTGCTGTGGACATGGACAGAAATATACAGCCCCCAAGTGCCAGACCAAACATTCTCTACTACATCCTAGTTGGTAGGTTCATCACGTATTTTCATTGATTTTTACACTTTTAATGTCTTTGGCTGAGCTGATGCCATGATTTTCCTTTTTAATATTTCTTCTGGGGTTGATTCTACCATAAATGTTCTTATTTTATATTGCAGGTGAACCAAACACATATGCAGCATATTTCTCTTTGAACAAAACCACTGCAGAAATGCGCGTCCTGCAGCCAATCAGCCGGGACTTGTATCAAAAGTTCACATTAGTCATCAAGGTAAAGTATAAAAGTATATTTGACTTATTCATTCCTCGAAAGTTGAATTGTTTCAATCTGCCCTACACAGACACAGTTCTTGAGAAATCTCATTAAACTTAACCTCAATACAAAGCCTGTTCACTACATTTATGTAACAGTGCAGTGTAATGTTAGTAATTACGACAAATTGCATTTGCAAAAATTTGCAGTAAATTAGTGTCAACTATTAGACATGCGCAGTCCTACAAGGATTGTTAAAACATTTACCGTGATAGAGCCTCATTGTCTGTTTCATCAGCTAAAGGTAAAATATTGATTTCTCTCCTTCCTTCACATTAGGCAAACAACACTACTTTATTCAAGATTTCAATTCTCTTCTATTTTTAATGGGCTTTTGCGAGATTAAGTTTGACTCATCTCTTAAAAACTTTAGCGTGCACCCTTACCTGTTCTACCCAGATAACCTCTGTCCTGAAGGCCATTAACCTTATCTTTAGCTCCTTAGGAGCTGGGGGTGAAAAATCTCTTATGATTTATGGACTTAGCAGGACAGGCTGCTGTGCCTTCATGAATCTTAATTTAGAGCATAGTCAGGAATTGCCTATGTGCTGCTGGTGCAGCAGTGCAGATGAACTTTCCATCTACCCATCACTAACCTCTAGACACCTCTGAGCAGTGTGTAACGTGCTATTTACTGGGATAGCTGGGGAGCAAAGAGATGAGAGGAAGATTTCCACAAGAAGAAGGGAGGCTGATCATATGAGAAGCTTTCTGCATGTCTTTGGGATGATTGTGCATAGCTTGAGGAAAGGAGACGGTTCAGAGGGGAAGGAGGAAAAGACCAAGAGAGATAGAGAGAGAGACGTGTCTGGAAGATGGTAGATGGAGCCTCATCTACCTGATTCATGTACAGGGCAAGGAATGATTATTCTAGGATTCAAAGGAGCAGGTGAGTAAGAATTAGACTTTTGTGCCTTGAAGGTTCTGCATAGTTAATGCTTTAGGTAAGGTAACAGTTAAATAAGCAGGAGCCTATTTTAGACAACATGTGCTTTATGTTTTAAAAGTCATCACTGATGTTGACTTAGGTACATCTACTAAGGTGACTGCGGTGAGATTAAGCCAAATGTCAAAGGCAGACGTGACGGCTTGGTGAAAGTAAGAGAATGAAGAAATGGCACTCTGAATCATGAGGGAACACTGTATGTGAAGTGTATGTTATGGCTGTCGATGACAGCATTTTTGTTTTTTCCCTCAGGCGTTTGTATGAGCAGATTGGATCTCTGGGTCAGTATAGTGCTGGTGTTCTTATTATCACTTTGATAAGGGGATAAGTAGAAGATGTTTGGGGAAGAGAATCTGACATGAGATTGTGATTGAAATAATAACAGGTATGAATCTCAGCTGGAGGGAAGCTCAACTGAATATGCTACAAGTGGGGTTTTTTTCTTTTCCCCATAGTAAGCTATACACATAAGGCAGTAAACATGAAGTCATGGGGAACCTGCTGTTTACAATTTTGCAGTACAAGCGCTTACATTTCTTATAATTGGCACTCTGCAACACAAGCCCAGTGAAATTGAGCTAATGTGCTGAATTAGTTCCAGGTCATGGCCTGAACTGATGTTCCCTTAGTCCCCCACTCCTTCTGTATTTTCAAAGCCTTAATGTTTCTGAAGCATCCCAGTGTGGGTGGCAAAAGTGACATATGTACTTAGGAGGCGAAAGATTGTAGTGACAGCCTGACCAGACCGCATTCATTAAGTTTCCTCTTACTGGGACATGGCAGTGTCAGATTCGACTCTAGTGTAAGTTCAGCTTCATTAGGTTTTGTGCAGTTTGAATGGCTGAGACAACATACTGATTTATGGAAATGTACTATGTTACTAAAGTGGCCATGTCACCCACCAGCCGTGCAGCAAAATGAAGTGGAAGGATTGTTTACATTGTTGTGATTGTTATGGATTCCTCTAGTTTGCTGTGTGCTTCTCTGTACATGGCACAAATGCAAACTGATTTTGGATGCAGGTTCATGTTTCACTTGTGCATTTCTTGGAGATTTTACAGCTCTGGATTTATCTTTCCAGATTTAGTTTGTAAACATTTTAATAGCTTAAGAGGACATATTGATTTTATGTAATGGGAACTCGATTTTTCAAGAAACTTGTTTTTTTCACAAATGGACTGATACCTGATTGAGCAATGTAATTTTCACTCTTTCAGTGGTCTTGTAACAGAACATTTCTCTAAGCTCTGTTCCATAGCTGAGTGCTGCATGTCTGTTTTTGGTTGAGGATATTGACATGCTGAATAGATGAGCTGTAAATGGGGATTTTATTATATCAGACTGCTCTGTGGTTGATTCAGAAGACAGAGAACCTTTACAGAAAAACAGGGATTTTTCACCTTCAGCAATGCAGACAGATTTGGTACGAGGCTTTTTAATAGTGAAGTGGTTAATTTTGGCATTGAATCAGCTCGTAATATTCCCAAGAGCCTCCTTCTATCACTGGTCACTGATTTGACAGCAAAGGAGTGCCACTAATTGCAGTCCCTCTCCTACAAAGGATGGTATTTCTGTTAAATGCCCCGGTAATTACTAAGTTCTAATCCTAAATGGACCCCTGATTAAATTTAGTCAATATAGCTTTTTTAAAATTGAAATGACACTCAGAGAAATTATGCCTTTCTATTTCTGTGCCTGCATGAGAGTTGGAACAGCATAACTTTCCAGCAGAGTAGTCTTGTTGATATGGTATTTTCCACAGTGTGACTTTCACCCTTATTCTTTCTTTTCCCTCTCCCAAGGCTGAACAGGATAATGGTCATCCCCTCCCAGCATATGCTAAAGTCATCGTTGAAATCTTGGATCAGAACAACCAGGCACCGTATTTCCAGTTTGCTACCTATCAGGGCTATGTGAGTGAGTCCTCCCCAGTTGGTACGACTATCTCAGCCAGTGCCAACCTTACCGCCCCCCTGGGAATCGTCGCTTTGGATAATGACATTGAGGAGGTACAGAGAGAAAGAGAGGCTTTATCAGCCTAAGCTTGCTGTCGCTTAGTCTTTAAAGATGCCCATCCATGCATGTGTGCATACAAACACAAAGTACTTGTAGTGCATTGATTAAATATTGAGGACAGAGCCACATTTATTCATGTGCTTGTATCGCGTACTCACAGAAAATAACATGTGCATGAGTCATTGTCCCGCTATATTTGTTTTGTTGTTACAGCTGGCTCCCGGTGTTACACCTGTAGGTAAAAGGGCTGATTTTAAATGCTGTGGCACGCACAAACTCACACACGCACTCAAACCCACACAATGTTATAAAGGGATGTCCTGATCCAGTTTTGTGCTCTAATCTTTGATGCAAATCATTTTAAAGATTGACTAGCTTTTGATGCTGAGTTTAATCCAATATTCATGTTTTCCTGCATTATGCAGCTGCAGTGTGTACACTTAATAACTTAAAGTGGGCCTGTGCTGGGCCTCTGTTATTAGTAAAGGAAATTGAATTCAGAGATTTGGCTTAATAGTTTTGCTTTAAACTTGCAACATGGCTTCAGCTGGTTTCTTTCTAATGTGATATGATGGCCAAAGATTTAAAAATACATGTATAAGTCTTTGGAACGAGACATTTCCTTGCTTGATTTCCACTTCAAACAAAAGGTTAAATGCATTCCTTTTAGTTGTATTTATTTTGCCCATTCGCTTTACCTGATCTGGCACAATGTCAATGCGAATCTCATTCATTTAAACTTCACTTCATGTAGCCGATACAGATCAGTACTGCTGTTTCCCTTTTACCAAAACTGATTTGGGACATACCTATTTTTAATGCATGCATCATGGTGTGAAAAGTAAGAATACATTCAGAGCACTGATCACTGCTGGAGACATTCTCAGCGTCTAATTACCAACTTCATAATCCTGCTTTGTATTTGAAAAAAAAACTCCATCTCCTGCAGAATTCCTCCTCTTTTTACTGCAGAATTGCACAAATGATCAATTAAATTGTAATCGGGTCTCCTGTAATGATTGGTGTGTTGTACATCAATCAAGCTGTGTACTGACTTTTGTACTGGAATTGGAGTGTGTGTTTGGAGTGTTTTGCTTTGATTGGAGTGTCTTTTTTAATGTGCAGATTGCTGTTTCTGCATTTCTAAAATCAAAACTTTACAAATTGATTCTTCCGTGTGGGGTGTTAACCATTTCTTTGACAGCTTACAAAGTGTGCGTGCATGTGTGCATCCACCTCAGTGGAGAACTCTAACTCACTCACTGCACTGTTAGACTCGCACAGTGACACGCAGCTAAAACAAATGATTACTACCTTTAGTTCATCTTTCAATACATAGCAAGTCTTTGCAGAAGATTAACACATCAAAGTGGAAACAGAGATAACAAAATCAATAAGCCACCCAGTCCCGATGTTTACCAAACTCTCTTAAGAGGACTCATTGATGGATGTGAATCGAAGCCGACTTGCAGCAGTGGACCACAGTTGTATTAACACAGCAGTGATCGTTATCAAAATGACTCTTTTTCAAAATGTTTCTCAAGCTTTTTGTTTTCATCTGGAAACCGTAAACCAAAAGCTGAAAACCCCATATCCTGCCTGCTTAATTTTCCCCCCTAAAGGAACAGGTGTAGTAATTAGTAAAGACGCCTTTCTATTGCTTTCATGATACAGTCACATTCATAAAGATGTGGGGTTCTTTGAGTGTTTCATTAATGTTAAAAAGACATTGGTTTAGGGCTCATTGCCTTCTTCTCTATTTTCTCTAGAAAGATGGGTGACCTGCCAACAGATTACTTTTTCCAACTCTTTGGCAGATCAAAATGTACCATTTGATAGGTTTCTCAGCTCCACAGCTGCGGCCTTCGAAAAATAAATTATGAAACAGTCATGTCACCATGGCAACATGTTTCTTTTTTTGTATATCTTTCTTTCGGAAGACAAAAGACCCCATGGTGACGATTACCCTGGATGACTACACCATGATCTTCAGCCTGACCCCAACTGGGATAATCCGCTACCTGAGGCTCCTCAAACCTGTGGACCGGGAGACGCAGATGGTCTATACTTTCACGGTAGGCCCACAACTCAGTGTAGCTATCTGCACAACTGCACTCGAGTACTGTGACCCACATCTTCCATTTTGTGTATTTAAATAGAAGTTCAAGATTAGCCATGTACCAAGAGGCACTTGGAGATACAAAGCTGACCTGACACTTCCAGAGCAATATGACCTTTATTAGTGGACCCATAGCAGTGAAGTGAGGCAGTTTGTCCACTTATACATTTCCATCCAACAGTGGACCAGAGGCATATCGGTTTTGTATGCTCAGTAAGATTTGTGGTGCATGTTTATTTTAATGTTATGTAACAATGCATAGATTTTAATACTATACACAGAAACTGTAATGTGAGAAACATTGTAGGGGTGGCAAATCCCAGATAAATCATAAAACAAAATCAAGTAGCTTATTGATCAGGTTAACATCATCCATGAAGCAAGAAAAACATCCTGCAAATACAGAAAACTCTAACAGAGAGTTGTACTCTGAAACTTGAAAATAGCCATGAAATGTTAAACTGATGATTCATTCGTATATTATCTTTAATCTTTTGTGTGCTTAGCGTTATTAACTATACATGTAGAATTATCCTGTTATTAAGTAATGATCTGCCCATTAACAATTAGTATTTCACCAAAAGTTGAATTGTACTAGACCTGTACTCTTCTTGCTATTTCTCTATTCCCTTTGTTCTTCTTTATTTGCTATAGATTTCTCTATTACTCTTGAATGTAGTCAGGTATATGGTATATGAATAAGCTCCTTAAGTTACTTGTGTTTGAATTATTTTCTTGTCTTTCTCGGCCTTCTTGCACACCACTTCCTAAATCTGTAAAAACAAGACAAAACGCTTCTGGCTCTCAGATCATAATCAAAATTTTGTTTGCACTGTCCATGTTGGCTTTCTTGTTTCTTCTTTTCTTCTTTTTGACTTTGACTCACAATACAAGTCATTCAAATTTATTGGAACCCTGTAATTTGTATATCATATGAAATGGTTCAGTCTCACTGAGCTCCACAGCTATGTTTTATCTGATGTTTTCATTGTTATTAATTTCACATTAGCAGTCTGGTTCACCAATTTTAAGTGTTTTGGCTTAGAGAGGTAGCAACTTGTTTATCCAGGGGTATTAGCAAACCAGCAGTGATACTACAGCAAGCTTGCTGGAAATGTTTCCCCGGGGACCGCAGAAGTTTGAACTCGGATGCTTTTGTGTGCCGTTGATTTTGGTGTAGTGCTGGATTTGGTTGAGTTGGTGAAAGTGCTTTGGACATCAGCACCAGCGGTATATGAAGGAATGTTTTATTTATTATGTGTGTGCGTTGTTGACCCTTTTGTGCTGTGTGTGCTCAGCTTTATTTATCCTCTTTGGTTTCTCTCTGGTTTGGATATATGAGAAGCTTAAAAGCTGGTAAGTGCTAAGAATGCTTTTGAGCTCAAGATCCATTCTGACAACACTTTACAGAGAAGCTGAGAAGCTGTCAGTTGTGGGCTGATTGTGTTGCGTTTTTTAGATAGCCATGTTTGGCACAGCTTTGTAGAAAGGTCTTTATTCAGTATCACATGTAAAAGAGAGAAATTCCCTTCTCGGATCATTAGAAGCAGTTGTTCTACTATCTTTTGGTAACATCCTCTTCATGTCGCTTCACTTGAACAGACAAGTTGCTTATTAAATGCTATAAAGGTTTTGAATAAATTCTAGAGATATATTTTTAGTGAGTTTCATTTATTCATTTTCTGTTTGATTTTTTTAATTAATGTTTTTTTATTACATTATAATGTATGTCACTGATTATCGGGGCGCTATGTTGTACTGTTATTACAATATTCAGTACCGTGCAAATGTCTTGAACCACCAATGTTTTCATTATGTTTTGCTTCTAGGGAGCCAGACTTTCTTGTGCTTTTTATCCCTCAGCCATCAAAGGCTGATGGGGTACTGTCGTCACACGCCGGCCAGCAGGCGTAGACACCCAAGTTTGTTAATGCGGTAATTCAAATCTCAGTGATCTCTGACCTCAAGGACAGTGGCCAAGTTTTCTGAAAATCTTATGATGGGATAACTCAAGAAATCACCTGGAATTTTCAAACTCATACCATAGGTGCTGCCACTGAAATCTCGGACAAGTTTGAGTCCCATTGATCTCCACCTCAAGGTCAGAGGTCAGGGTTTCTGAAAATCTCCTAGGATTATCACATTTATACCATAGGTTCATCTACTGCACAGGCAGGTGTAGGGATGGGTACCGGTGTCCGGTGCCATGATGGCACCGGACACATTTCGGTGCTTTATTTCGGTGCTTTTTTTTTCCTGAGCTGTGATACACTTCTAGCCAATCATTTTACGTTTCCGAGGATAGTAGGCGGGGCCAGGTACGTACGTTCTGTTAGAGCAGAGCTACAGATTAAAAATGCCCAAGGCGAAGCGGTCAAAAGTCTGGCTGTACTTCACAGCAAAATATGCAAACTCAGCAGCCTGCAACAAGTGCTTTAAGCTGATACTGTGATACTGTCAAAGGAGGTAACACCAAGAATCCGATTAAACAGCTGGCGATGCATAGCGGTTTTTTTAAAAGCCGAGAAATGCGCCGTATTTGATAGCTTGCTGCGAGACCTCACACCGTGCACGTCGGGTGGGTTGCCAGTTATCGGACCCGGAGCAACATCCCCAAAAACCCGAAGAATAGAGTCCTGGCCCCTAGCCCTGCCAGTGTAGCAGAAATGATGAGGATGATGATGGCAGCAGCAGCCGTTCTTCTCTGCGTGAGTAGCTTCATGTTGTTCGTGTGTAATTTACGTTGAGTAGGCTAACCACGTTATTACATTAATGCATGTAAGGTGAACTAGCAAACATCATCATAGCTACATGCGGCTGTCTTCTTGTTTGATGGCAGATGCTCCCTTCACCCTGGACAAAAAGGCTAAAATGACCAAAGAAAAAGTGGGAAACAGTTAAACATGAGAGGGTTTAAGTTTGTGGTTTTTCCATTGTTTAAGCACTGCTTCCAGCCAAGAGTGATGCCATATATGCCACATAGCTGCAGAAAAGGCACACATTGTTATCTTTTTACAAAAAACAGCTGTGCATGTGAGGTTTTTGGACAAAGTTTGTGTTCTCCATTCTTTAAGCACCAGTTCGAGCACCGTTTAAGCACCGGCACCGTTTCAAAAGTACCGATTTGGCACCGGTATCGGATAAAACCTAAACGATACCCATCCCTAGGCAGGTGCTGGTATTTTTAGTGGTCTTGAGCAGTAGTTCTCCAGGGTTTCTGAGGGTCTTTTGAAAGTTTTTATTTTAACATTGGCTGCTTTTCAGTCTTTTTCAGTCCAAGTCCTTATACCTGACCATTTTTAGACCATTTTGACAATAAATCACTCAGTAATTTAAAAAAAACAATAAAATACTTAAAGAGATACTTTTCTTTTAAAAAGATCTACATATAACAGACAACTTAATAAAAATGTATTTTAAATTACATGTTTAACCACTTTGTTACTAGCAGCATCTCACAAAAACGCTTCAAGTTCCCATTTCTTCTCTTGAATCTATGAAATAGAGTAAAGGTGACACCATTTTTGAATGAACAAGTTCCTGAAGGACCATTAGTCAGAAACTCAGCATGGTGTGCAGTGTGCCCTTAAAAATTTAAGAGCACTGGACGAGTGGAGGATAAGAGAAGTGGCAGGCATAAAAACTATCCACAGCAGATGAGTAGTATCTCAAAGTCATGTCTTTGAAAAATAGGAACAAATTCAGCAAAGACCTGACACGTGACCTGAGTGATACTTCTGGCCCTTCAATTGGTCCATCTACTGTTTGCCGAAGCCTCATCAGAAATGGTCTTAGTGGAAGGGTGGCTGTCAAGAAGGCATTCTTAAAGACAGAAAACAGAGGAGAACACACAAAGTTGACTGAAAATCAGAGGCCACTAGTCTTATGGAGTGACAAATCCAAATTTCAAATTTTTTGTTCATTGTTGTCAAAATATATGGAGAATGTCAGCAGAGAGTGTCTGCAGCTATCTATAAAAGACAGGGGAGACTCTGTCACAGTTGTGAGCTGCATTTCATTCAGTGGCATTGGGGATTTTTTCAAAATTGATGGAATTATGAATGCAGAAAAGTATTGTTGGATTTTCATCCATCGTGCAATACCAAAAGCATCTGACTGGCAACAGCTTCATTTTTCAGCATGACAATGATCCCAAACACATTGCCAATGCAGTAAAAGAATACCTGGATAGAAAAACACACAGTGGAACATCGTCAATCATGGCTTGGCCTCTCCAGAGCTTGGACCTCGACATTATTGAAACTGAAAATAAAACAAAAGGCAGTCAACACCAAAGAAGAACTTTAGGATATCCTTGAAGAAGTCTGGAGAATTAGACTACCTAAAAAGAATTACGAGAAAAATGACAAGACATTAAGCTTGTACGAATTGTCCAAACTCTAAATAATATAATAATAAACTATATCAAATAAAATCAATTCTGTAGCACAGTGATACAGTGATGCTGCTGTAACCCTAATGGACACACCTTTTCTACTGCTTTGCTATATTAAAAAGGTAGGATGTGCCACTGGCTACTGGCAGCGTGTGTGCACCACAGTTTGTCTTTTTACTCGTTACACCTGCAGCACGCATTAAGTCTAGGGCTGTGTGAGTCAGTAGAAGGCAAGCATGTTCACTACACCCACGGGGTAAGTCGACAGCCCAACCAGTCTTCGAGGCTCTAGCTACTTGAGCCATGACTTGCCATGTCGACTACCACATAGATGAGGTTCAGGGAAGCATTCGATGCTAGTGGCTTGTTAGAGCTAAATTTAGATATTATGATGTGATGCTGGATGGTATGAATAAAACTTTGTATCATGGTGGGTTTTGGGGTTTGTTAGTTTTTTGTTTTTTTTGGTTTGTTTTCTTTTGTTTATATTTTTTCTTGTTCACTTTATGAATTGTAGTATTATTACTAATAGTAATAATTTCCATAAATGGTTATTTCATTTTAGATTTATAATGGCTTATATTTGTTTTTCTGTCAGGACTACATAAAATACAAACTTTAATGTAAGATCAGTACGTAACAGGCTGCTTGTTATGCTTTTCAGTTTTGCTCAATGCCGGTTTTTCTGCTGCAGACTTAGTATATGATTCACTGGTGTTAATGTTTCCACAGCAGAGCTTTGAAGTGCAACTTTATAACGAACTCCATTTGGACTTATTTTTCTAAAGTTTGTGGCACAAATGATTCTGTGGTTAGAAAACACAGCTCATCTTTTGGCAGCAAAATATTCTGGACCATCTTTGTGTCTTTTTTTCTCCATCCTCTATCAGTCTTTACTCGGGTAGCATTAGATCTGCTTGGCTAGCTAGCATTACCCAGCATGCATTTCAGTGGCGTAGTTAATTAAAGCTCTATGTTTCACAAATGAAGTTAATACAAGTCTCCTCTCAGTACACTATTCAGTACACTGAATGTCCAAAGATATAATTCACTTAAGCTCCTGAAAAGCTGTTTTTTATCTGCTCACTGATATAGTAGAGTGGTACATGAAGTATTCATATCATGAAATTAAGACTATTATAAGTTTAAAGTGCATTGAGGCGACCTTTGTTGTGATTTGGCACTATATAAATAAAATTAACTATACAGATACACTGCTAACCTCTACTGAGATGTTGTCACTATTGTGCCTGGGTGCCTTATAAAAAATAGATTTAAACAATTAAATATATATATGTAAATATTACAAGTTTGTATTTAAGAGCTGATCGAGGTACAATGAATATATCCAAGGAACACAAACAGTGGGAAAATAAGAAGACTGAAATAGAGGAGGGGGGTGAATAGAAGTGTCCACCTGTGTCTGTATAACACTGATAGGAAGGTCCATGAAAGAAAATCACTAAAAGTCAACCCTTTTTTTTTTTTTTGTTGGCAACTTTTTTTTACTTGAAGTAAGATTTAATTCAATCTTTAGAATGAAAGCGAGGTTTGTGCTTCAAGGAAAAGTCTTTTTAACTTTTCTTTGTCTAGTCTTTGTTGATCCAAAGGTTTATCACGTGGCAACATGTCTGAGCTGTTACATTAACATGTTAGATTGTGGCTTTTGAATGCGTGAGGAGTTTTTATTGCCACCTGGACGGTATGCATGTTACACACATTTTAGTTTAGGTGACAGGGTGCTAAGAGTTTTGTCTACTATTGTTCTATGTGGTGTTGTAATTGTTAAATTGTTAATGAGTTCAGACATTCAGTATGGCAGGAATGTGTCTTTGAATTGAATTGAATTTCTAATAAGAGGTACCATAATGTCCCTTCTTCTGGCTGTCTGGGGTCAAAAAATGCATCCAGCACCTTCTTGGTTTGGCGATCTGCCACAGCAGAATCTGGGTTTAGACCTCTTAATAAGTCTTGTTTCATCTTAGCTAACCCCTGTATAAGCTGTCATTTGGATAAGTCAGGCCTGTGATGTGGAAAAAAAACTGAATGAAATTTAGACAACACACCTGCTACAGCAGGACAGCAGTACTTTACACACCATGTACCTGACTAATCCATGATTAGATTAGATTAGAGGAACAGCTCTTCACACATGCAGAAAGGTGCCAGATTTGTCAACACAGTGTATTATGCTTAAAAACGGAGTCAGAAGGACTCAGATGTAGTGCACTGATAGAACTCTATGCATAAAGATGCCCAATATTCTACTGTGCAGATATTTGCACCACCCATTTGTCTGAGGAGTTGTTGGTGAGAATAAGGCAGATGTGAAGTATGAAGGACGGCTGTGGCCTCTAGGCCTGTGTGATTGCATCACACAACCAGTGAGATAAATGCTGTTTTGACAGCAACCTACCCTGGGATTGTCCTCCGTGGTGGACAAATTGTTGCCTAATGTTAGTTGTGCAAAAGACATTATGAGCCAGAGCTCACACGAGACACTGCTTTTGTTCAATGCTTTGTTCTTACTGTAGGTTCAGAAGAAAGATTTTGCTATATTAACCTTGCTCCTGTCTTCCCTCATAGTACAACATAGTTTTGTGCCTGATAACACAAATAAGGAACTCACTCTTATATAAGACTAAAAAAAACCATTACTTTAGGGAAATATTCTTAAAAAAAATTTGATTTACTTTCTGATTCCTGCCATAAAGCTTAATTATTGACAGAGCTATACAGTAGATATTCATCTACATACCTTGAAATGTTGGTTATACCCAGTCCTCTGGATCAGACTAAGGCATGGGATGAAAACGTAGTCATGGACTAGTAGGAGCACTACAGGACAGCCCTGTTTTCTATCCCTGTGGACTTTAGTGAAAGGTTCATAGTGGGATATTGGTATTCTTAATTTTGGGGGGGTTTGAAAAATTAGGCCAAAGCTCTGTGAAGCAAGTCAACAGGAACCGTATGGCTGGTATCTCCTGGCACCACCTAAGAGACCGCAGGCAGGAACACAGTGTTCTTCCAGCATTACCGTGCCTCTCAGATCTTCCGCCTTCTTAGAAGTGGGCGAATAGCTATCAAAATTATGTGGACAAGGAGAGTGCCACCAGTGCGGTCTCTGAGCAGCAATGAGGATAGTGCAAGCCAAGAACACATGACTCCAGACCTCTCATTATCCAGTTCCAGTCCCTGCCCCCAACAGGGACCTGGGAAGAGAAACCAAGATGAAACAAATGGACTGTTGCCTACCATCAGGATCCTCCTCCTTAATATCTGAACATAGAGTATCTGATAGAGTCTGCCTCTATCGTGTTTGAAATTGATAATGCTAAATATTTATGTAGTATTTGAGTATTTGGTTTTCAGCTTTGTAGATATGTCTCAGGCTGATCTCACAACAGGCTTTACATTTTTCACTTTTAAAACTTTTTTGGAATATGAGTTTATCAGAATCTATAAAACTTTCTACCTAACCTTGAAAAACATATTGATTCACTTCTTTGACTAATGTGTGTGTGTTTGTATTTCTCAGGGATAATTTATTTAACAAATTTATTACTCTAATTTATATTAAACTGTACTCTAGATGTAGGCTATAGATAGTATCCAAGATTTTAGGGAAAAAAACCTTTTTGTGCATATTTTTGTAAAGTATTATATGAATGTGTGTTTATCTAGTTCGTTTCTCTTGCAACAAGCAAGCTCTATTCATGTTTAGTTTTTGTGATAGATTTGATAAATTTTTAAGTTATTTCTTTTTGTTTGCTTTGTTTGCTTTGAAGGTTAGATTTCCAATGAGTTTTATTGGGAACCCATTTGCCCTTCATTTTTATACCTTAGTCCTCATTCTTCTTTTTGGATTCTTATTTTTATATATTTAAACTTGTTTTTTTGGGGGGTTTTTTGGGGGTTTTTCAATCAACCCATTAAGTTTTTTTTGTCTATTTTACTGGCCTCTGCATTCGGAAATGGGTCCTCTCAGTTGGAATCAGTTTAATCCACTTCTCATAGTAAACATATTAGTCAGGCATGACATGGTTTACATAAGTCAGTACTTACACATTTATATAAGTATGTATAAGTATGGATTGTCTCAGTAAATCCAAATCTGCTTTCCTTCTTGTCTCCCTAAAACTTCTTGGCATCTCAGTTCTGGCTCAAGAACAGAAACACAGTTTGATAGGATGGAAAAGCACGTTTCTATATGTTATCATTTGTTTCTGTTCAACACCTTCACTGTGAGTGTTTAGCTGCTACTAAAAGCAATCTCCTGATATACAGTATAACCAGCAGGATTTGTCATTTCAATTTTGACTCTTAGTGCAAAGCGTCAAAACATGTATTTCTTGCTGCTGCAACAGTTGTTGTTTAGATCTACCCTCTCCTACACTGCACTTGTTGCTCTGCTCAGTCCATTTTCTTTCTACCTCGCCAAGTACTGGAGATCAGAGCTGCCAGGGACAAATAAACATGTGGTTTGTTCAGTTTGCAATCTGTCCTTTAGGCAGCTTCAGACGAGCACTCCCTTTTCTTCTCTAAGCACTTTTCTAATGTCAAGGGAAAGAAAAATGAACGTATACAAAGGAAAACTGTAAGCACTGGTGTTGAGGTCGTAAAAACGTTATTTGACACTTAGGCTTATCAAATAGTGAAAGCCTAATGTTGAATAAAATAATCAATTATCTATGATTTATCTGAGGAAAATGGACTTCACTTGTGTACGCTTTATTAGGTATTTCTCTTTCTTGTGTTTATAGATGGTGGCGTCAGATGGCGTCCAGCAGAGCAGGCCAGTAACTGTCAACATCCTGGTCATTGATGCCAATGACAATACCCCCACATTTGGAGAGGTCTCCTACAGTGTTGAAGTCTTCACCAACATGCAGCCGGGGGAGACGGTGCTACAGGTAATCAATCCAACAATCATTCTTTTGCTTCTTTCCTCTTGCACCAGCACGCCGCGCTACGTCTCCATCTTCTTCCTCATCACACAGAATCCCTCTCACGCACGTTCTTTCATGCTCAAAACAAATAACCACAACAATCCAGTGCATTGTGCTGGAATAGTGCCCTTCATCTCATCTGTAGTCCTGTCAGACAAGTCACAGACAATGCTTTTATCTATATCTTCAGTGCACAAGCTTGGTTCATTCGTAGTGGAAGGCACTCGCGATGACCGTGAATTAACCCCCCTGCTTACGTATTTTGCTTATAAAACACAATTTTCTTCTTGTTTGTTTAGTCCATTTTGATTATCTTTATGGATTAGGAACATTGTTCGTTTTTGATTTCATTAGTGTAGTGGTTTTAAAGGTCATGATATACTTCCCTCTTTTCTGTTATGCGTGTATGCTTAAGTTAACCAAATCTAACATCTGTGCATGAAAACGATAAACGTTGAGCAGACTCATGTAGGCATTACTGAAAGGGACATTTTTCATTCATTGTTTCATTCTGGGTAGGAACAAACACAGCTTGGTTAGAAAGTGCTCAGGCAATATTTAGTTAGCCTGTGGAAATTACTGTGATTCCAGTGAAGGTGACAACACCAGCTCATAATTTACATGCGCTTATTTAAAAGGACGCTGAAGGTTGCTTAACAAGCTGTCATAATTACAGCTTGCTCAAACTTATGGCATAGGAGAGGACTTGTTCAAAACATGAACCATAACTTCATTTTGCTACAACAGAGGAGTAAGAGTTCTATCATTGTATTGTCTCATTTGATAGTCGGAGCATGATTCTTTCATCTTTTAGCTGATCTGTCCTCTCAGCAAGGCCTCTCCTCAAAAGAGAAAAAAAATGTCAGACATTGAAAAGGTCAAGTTTAATCGGTTTTAAAAAACAGCCGTTTCACCCTCCCTGAAATGAGGCCAGGGGTCACAGAGTGCCTGGTATGACCGCTTAACCGATTTTTATAAGCCATTTATGAGAGCTGAAGCCCCCTGAGGATTCTGCTGCTTATTTGATGCTACAGCTCTTACTCCAACGACAGGAGCATGGAAAAGGAGGTCATGGTAACTTGGATTAAAGTTTCAAGGCCCTAAAGATATGAAGCCAACTACACTATGAGGGCTCGTATTTACAAGCAGCGGGATGTCCTAAATAATTTTCCTTGAAGGAAAGGGTGGTTCCTTAATTTGTTTGATATGGGAGCATGAAATAAATGATATATTTACGTATCATTTTTTCCGTTACACTTGCCAAAAGAACTATGTTTGTCAGCTGTCTGTCAACAGCCCCCCGTATTTTATATGAAAGGCTGAAAGTAGTGAAAGTAGTTTGCAACTTTGCTCATCATTAAGTTAAACAAACCAAAATCCTTTAGATTTGATTTCACTTAAATGCAGACCCTGTAAATTTATCTATGCATTTGTCATTTCACAGACTTTAACACATAAAAATCATTTTGTGAAATCATCACTGTTTTTTGATATGGCTGTACTGTAAACAATAGACAATTTCTCTTTTATTGTTGTAATTTTAACATTTAACATCTGAAACGGGTGTCTCTTGTGAGACATTTAGCCTCTGTGGGACTACTTGTATAGATAAAGGTTAAATAAAATTTAAAAAAAGCATAATGCAGATGATATTGTCCAGCAAATATTTATATTTGGGAATACCTCTGCAACTTATTTGCTAAACAGGTCCTAACCCACAATCCCCACCCACTGAGAAATAGTTTCTGCTTGACTGGTTTAGTAAACATATTTCTGGGAGGTGTAAAGCAAAGGGAAAAAGAGGAAAATGTAAAGGCACTGTGTGTATAATGTGTAGCTTTTTTTTTTATCTCCCTAATTTCTCTCAGCTGACAGCATCGGATGCAGATGAAGGGCTGAATGGTTTGGTGACCTATGAGATACTGGCTGGCGCCCAAGGAGATTTCATCATCAGTAATCGCACTGGACGTATCACCGTGGCACCTGGTGTCACTTTAACTGTCGGGCGATCTTACACACTCACTGTCAGGGCCTCAGACAATGCACCAGAGACCCAGAGAAGGTGATTTATTTGAACATTGAAGAGTTCTACATTGATGGAAGCAGTTTTGTTATTGTGATTAATGTTCTGTACCTTTTTTTTTCTTCTTTTTCTTAGTTTTTTTTAAAGAAGGCAGATTTGTTTCTCCTTTCAGAATGAAAAGCAGTTTCATAGAGCCGAAGCCATCTGGATGAATAGATTTGCCAGTGTTATCTAATTGAATATGAACTCATTGTAATTCACAACATTGCTTGAAATGACCCAGAAAGTTTTTTGGGGGCTGAAATATGGAAAAAATAATTATTTGGCCTAGCTACTTTGAGTGAATGTATCCTTTTTCTTCATTGTGGTTAAACTATCTTTTCTTTTCTTTTTTTTAAAATGTGTGCTTGGAGCTGTCAAAGGGAAAGAATTTCAGTGTTTCAGTGCGCCACTCAATTTGCACAATGTTGTGAAAGAGGCTGTAATGTGTTTCTGTTTTGATTTCATTAAGTCAAAGAAAGGTTGTCATAGAGATATTTCACCAACTGGTTAACATGGTGACAAAATTACTCCTCGTAGGACTTCATGTTCAGTACAGTTAGGCTTTTACTTAGTAAAAGTAAGTAAAAGTTAAGTACCAGTTCAACAAGACATGTTGGGAAAAAAACAAAAAAACAATTAAAATCAGTTACACTTTTGTTTCTATGAAAACTAAGAAGGCGGACGGACTTAAGCAATCATTAGAGCCTTGATCTTGAGACTTAATGCACTTTTCATTATAAGATTGTCAACCACAAAGAAAAACCAGTGCAACCAAAACTCATTTTCTACATTTCTGCAGTAAAGGCTCAATACAAGTGAACTTTGATGTGTCATTACATTGTGTTTGAGTTGCTTTCAACTCTTTCTTTAGCTAATTTGTTAACTGATGATTGACTATGTCTTGAGTTTGAATTTACTGTATTTGCTGTAATTAAAAGAAGACATTCACATATCTATATATAGTCTGACACCTGATGTGAGAGACAAAACCAATACAGAGATATGACTGTAAACCTGAGACAAGATTGTGTATAGGAACAAATGTAGGAAGGATACATGAAAAATTGAAATTGCCCAGGGCCATGGTATTCTCTGTCAGTATCAAAATGGAAAAAGTTTGGAACCACCAACAGTTTTCCTAGATACAGCCACCACAGGTCAAGGAATAATTGGGCCTCAATTTCATCCCCTAAGGCCAGCAAGTCAACAACACAGTATAGGCAGCCAGAGTCTGGATCTAAATCTAATACAGTAAAAAATAAAAAAAATTGATCCAACCTAGTTGAGTTTGAGCAGTTTTGCCAATAATAATGTGAGAAATTCCTAGCAAGTTTGGAAAAAAGTATTTCAACCAAGTATAAAATTAAATTGTATTTATTTTATTACATTAATTAAAAAAAATTGTTTTGATATGTCATTGATGAGTAATGAGTATACTAAAAAAAAGTTTAATCCATTTTAAGAATTAAATCAAAGTATTTAGAAAAAGTAAATACAGTGTTTATTTAACCTATTTGACTGCCCTATGGGCAAGAGGTCATTACAACTCAACAGTTGGTCAAGTAGAAACTAATGCTGAAAGTCAGTTGGTGTCTGTATTTCTGCCAGGAGCTCCATCACAACAGTCAACATCGAGGTTTTGCCACCCAACAATCAGAGTCCACCACGCTTTCCTCTCCTGACATACAGCCTAGAAGTCAGTGAAGCTATGAGGATAGGAGCTATTCTGCTCAATCTGCAGGTGAGTCACAAATTCACACAAGGCATCGTTGTGACTTTTGCTGTGTCAGTATATGTTGTACTTTAGACAACAGATTTTTTTTTTTAACTGACATTTCACATCCTGCACTATGCTTGTTTTCACTCCAGTGCAGCATCCTTTTAGCTCAGCTGTCCTGTTTTGCACCCTTCAGCATATGGCCTTCAGACTCCTGTTGTCTTTTTTCTTCCTCTAGGCCATAGACAGAGAGAACGATCCGATCAGGTATCGCATTTTGAGCGGGGATTCCCAGAAGGTCTTTAACCTCACTGAAACGTAAGTCCAGATGGGATTGTGTCTGACTTTTTGATTTTTAGCAATAAGGCTGATATTAGAGGATATATTTACTCAGTGATCTGCAAGCAAAATGGCAACTTAATGGAAGGCTTTAATTGCTTTGTGAGTGCAAAGGCTATACATACTGTAAATAGTATGACAACCGTTGAAGACAGCTTTCACAATAACAATGGACACAGCAAATGACTTGGATGGGAAGATAAAGTGAAGTGACAGATGTGCACTTGTGATGGAGGAATATAGAAGCTCACTTGGCATTCATTGGTTTTAATTATACTGTCAAATGTTCTCATAGAGAGAGAACTTTTTTTCAAAGAGTTTGTTGGAGTTTTGTTATTTTAAGAAATGAAGGCAATTCCATACAGAAGAAAACTGCAAACAAATTAAGTGCTAATAGGACAGCCTGAAGCACAGCTTGGCTCAAGCTACCAGTTGAGGCTCAGTGAGGTGACTATTTCTCAACCAGAGACTCTGCTTTATATACTTTAGACCTTGCTTGGTTTAGCATTTGTACTGAGGAATGCAATCTTTAGTTTAGAAGATTTTGAATTGGAAAACACTTCACTGCTAGCTTCAGAGTGTTGTTTTTGGACATTTTGAACCCCACAAAGGCTGCGATCACATGTTCTCACCTTGCCAGCATATTTCTTCCATAATTTGCAGAGCAAGGTCGGCTAAAATAATTAGAAAAGGTTTTTAGCTCATCTGACTGAAGGAGCAGCGAGCTGGTGTGGTGGCAATGGCTCAGCCATCAGGCCGCAGTCCACAAGAATCAGTTTCCTAATAAATTATCATAAAACAGCAAACATGTTTTGGAGAGATCTCAACATTAGCATACAAAAAACTCACTCACCTACTTCTACGGAGCAAGCAAAAAGCATAAAATATCGTGGGCGCTGAGTGCTTTTCTCATCTATAAACGAACAAGAAATATGGAGTGACGAGACATGGGGAGACTGAAAATGCAGGGCCTTGCCAGACATGTGTCTCACTAATTGATTAAAGCTTATTTTGTCTGCGTTTTCAACCTCCCAGCTAGGTAAGGACAAGTTGTGTTGCAGTACTGTATTGCCACCTTTTCTCCACTCTTAATTTGCTCCACGGTGTTAAAATTGTATGTTTTTATAGAGAGTCGTTTGCTGTGTGGTTTAGTCACGGTAAGCAAAAACATGGTGACACAATCAAAATAGCAGGGGATCGCTATTTTTGCCACTGGCACTGTAATCTCCTAAACCAGATATGACAGAAATCGTGCTAAAATAAATAGACACATCTTCATTTAGCTCATTCTTTGTGTGTTAAAAATGTTACAGTCACATCACAGGCTTTCACCAGGCTATCAGTATAATAAATGCAAGCAAGTGCTGATATAGCACATGATGAATCAAAAAAATTATTAGTACAACTGACGAGTGTGCAATTTACAGTACAGAGCGTATTGCACACTCTAATTTTTCAACCCTCAGAACTCAGATTTGATTCAGTGAAGAGATTTTTGCATTGCTGCATGTTCAGATAACAGGCTACATAGGAGGCTGGCTCAATCCAGCTTGTATGAATAATGAGCCCTCCAGTAAGAACTTTCTTATAAATGGGGCAGAGACCCCTAAAGGAGGTGGAAATGCTTCATATTCACTTACTGTTATGTCTAGATTTTCCACTAGAAAGAACGGACGAGTTGATTTCAAATGTAAAATTTCTGTCTCGGTGCATATTGCTTTGATCATAAATCCTTTAAGCATCAGTGTTTGAGATTGTCTTACATTTGGGCCAGTATATCGCTGTCAAATAACATGCACAAAAACTCAAATATCAGTATTTAATTAGCTCCAACAATATTCGTCATATAAATTTTATCGTGGGTTTTCAGTCTGCAGATCTTGATGCTACTTTGAGTACTCTGACCCTGCCTACTTTTGTTTGATTACAGCATCGTCTTTGAAGTCAGTTCTCTTTTTGTAGTTTCTCAGAGTCATAAAAACCTAACCTGGAGGCTATGCCAGCTTTGATACTTGCAGTGTGTTCTAGTTGGCAGCTCAGTGTGTTGCTTCAAAGTGAAATTGAAACCAAAATTAAAAGGGGTTCAAGTGAAATTACTCTTTTTTTTCTTTTTCTTTTTTTACTGTCCAGTGAAACTAACATTGGGCACAATATGGTAATCAGACTCAGTTTTAAATACAACATTGTGCAAGTTTTGAGCCACCTCTCATTCATCATAGTTTGTCGGAAAAATTGGAAAGTTTTAGCAGTAATTTATTTAAAAAACATACAGTTTTATCAAATCCTAACTAGCTTGTTCAGTTAATATTGGCATGACCAATCTTTACTCCTAAACAAAGCCTGAACTGTCCTCAGCTCAACTTAGGCAAAAATTCTACCAAAATGATGCTGCGCTGCTTCAATAACATTGAGGTCCGGGCTCTGGGGATGCCAGTCCATGCCTGACAGTGTTCCAGGGTTTGTGTTAGCTATAAGGTATTTTTCTGTGTTCATCATTCCATTGATTTTAGCAAGATCCCCAACATCACTACCTGAAATGTAGCCCTAAACCATAACTGAGCCTCCGCCATGTTTTACAGATAGCTGCAAGCACTCACTGTTGTACAACTTTCCTGACAACTTCTGTACATATAAACCAAAAAATTTAAATTTGGATTCATCGCTTAATAAGACCCTTTGCTACTGATTTTCAGTCCAGTACTTGTTTAATTTGGCTTTCCTCAGTCTTTTCTCCTGTCACCCTTTCTTAATCCAGTGGGGCAAAAAAGTATTTAGTCAGCCACCGATTGTGCAAGTTCCCCCACTTAAAATGATGACAGAGGTCAGTAATTTGCACCAGAGGTACACTTCAACTGTGAGAGACAGAATGTGAAAAAAAAATCCATGAATCCACATGGTAGGATTTGTAAAGAATTTATTCGTAAATCAGGGTGGAAAATAAGTATTTGGTCAATAACAAAAATACAACTCAATACTTTGTAACATAACCTTTGTTGGCAATAACAGAGGTCAAACGTTTACTATAGGTCTTTACCAGGTTTGCACACACAGTAGCTGGTATTTTGGCCCATTCCTCCATGCAGATCTTCTCGAGAGCAGTGATGTTTTGGGGCTGTCGCCGAGCAACATGGACTTTCAACTCCCGCCACAGATTTTCTATGGGGTTGAGGTCTGGAGACTGGCTAGGCCACTCCAGGACTTTCAAATGCTTCTTACGGAGCCACTCCTTTGTTGCCCGGGCGGTGTGTTTTGGATCATTGTCATGTTGGAAGACCCAGCCTTGTTTCATCTTCAAAGTTCTCACTGATGGAAGGAGGTTTTGGCTCAAAATCTCACGATACATGGCCCCATTCATTCTGTCCTTAACACGGATCAGTCGTCCTGTCCCCTTGGCAGAAAAACAGCCCCATAGCATGATGTTTCCACCCCCATGCTTCACAGTAGGTATGGTATTCTTGGGATGCAACTCAGTATTCTTCTTCCTCCAAACACGACGAGTTGAGTTTATACCAAAAAGTTCTACTTTGGTTTCATCTGACCACATGACATTCTCCCAATCCTCTGCTGTATCATCCATGTGCTCTCTGGCAAACTTCAGACGGGCCTGGACATGCACTGGCTTCAGCAGCGGAACACGTCTGGCACTGCGGGATTTGATTCCCTGCCGTTGTAGTGTGTTACTGATGGTGACCTTTGTTACTTTGGTCCCAGCTCTCTGCAGGTCATTCACCAGGTCCCCCCGTGTGGTTCTGGGATCTTTGCTCACCGTTCTCATGATCATTTTGACCCCACGGGATGAGATCTTGCGTGGAGCCCCAGATCGTGGGAGATTATCAGTGGTCTTGTATGTCTTCCATTTTCTGATGATTGCTCCCACAGTTGATTTTTTCACACCAAGCTGCTTGCCTATTGTAGATTCACTCTTCCCAGTCTGGTGCAGGTCTACAATACTTTTCCTGGTGTCCTTCGAAAGCTCTTTGGTCTTGGCCATGGCGGAGTTTGGAGTCTGACTGTTTGAGGCTGTGGACAGGTGTCTTTTATACAGATGATGAGTTCAAACAGGTGCCATTCATACAGGTAACGAGTGGGGGACAGAAAAGCTTCTTACAGAAGACGTTACAGGTCTGTGAGAGCCAGAGATTTTCCTTGTTTGAGGTGACCAAATACTTATTTTCCACCCTAATCAAGGAATAAATTCTTTATAAATCCTATCATGTGGATTCATGGATTTTTTTTTCACATTCTCTCTCACAGTTGAAGTGTACCTCTGGTGCAAATTACTGACCTCTGTCATCATTTTAAGTGGGGGAACTTGCACAATCGGTGGCTGACTAAATACTTTTTTGCCCCACTGTAATAGCTTCCTGACAGCCACCTTTCCAATGAGCTCGCTTCAATTGATGTACAAAATCCATCTGTCAGGTCTGTGTCATGCCTGTGTCAAACACATGACTTTCAGTGTACTTTACATAGTCTTGCAAGTCTGTCACTTCTTTTGTCCAGTTTCCTCAAACTGTTTAAGAACACCATGCTGAGATATGATTTGTGGTGTAAAAATACTTTTTTATGCCTGTCAAACTGAGTTGTCATTGATATTTTTATAGATTCAACTAAAGACATGAGAACCGTTATTGTGTTTTTTGTGACAGTTTACTTCTAACAAGGTGCCTAAAGATACGATTTAAAATTGGTTCTTTGCTCAGCTGTCTGTGTAGAAACAACACAGCTTCATCTTCCTTCGACTTGATGCCTTTTTGAACGCTTGAATGATTCAAAGGTCAGTGTTAGGTGAAAACATTTCTCTGAAAATGGTCAGGTACAAGAACTGGACTGAAAATAGGTTGAAAGAGAACTAAGGCCACTTGAGTCTGGCTTCTTGAAGCAAAATGTAAAGAAATGAGGGGTGGCTCAAGACTTTTGCACAGCACTGTACAAACAACAAACATAACAATGCAGCAGCTGTAGCTTAACTTTCTCCTTGTGGCATGAATGAACTTCATCTTGGCTTAGATGATAATCTCTGCTATGCCTTTCCGCTCCTTGCCTAGCCAGATAGACACTATACATCAAGTACAGTTTACCATAAAGAGTCATGATAAGAGCAAAATGAAAGATGTTAGTGTTATTATTTAGATAGCTGCTAAAGTGCAGCGCTGACACTCTAGATGATGCTGTTAACAGTGTCCCATAGATCTGACAGCATTGTTTCATTTGTGTTGGCTGGGGAGAGGAGGGAGGGCTCTATCGCACATGATCAGTGAACCCCTCAGACCCAGCCGCTCAAGTGTAGTTCAATACTTTAGCTGCTGTGAGGAAAATTAAAAACCCCCAGACTAGCAGAATTAATCATTTTAATCTTTGTCTTAATAACCATCAAGATCATCATCATTATCACTATAATAATGACAGTTATCAATGTATATCTTCACTGTCACACATCATGGTTTCTTGTGCTTTCATTCAGAATAGAATGCTATTTTCTCCTCTCCAGCTTATGTATAAATAAACATGAGCACAGCAGCCAGCGAAGGAAGCTGTTCTGCATTTTTATGGTGGTTTTAGAAAACTGCGTTTGTCCTTTTGAACCACCGATCATCAGGTGTGGTGGATTCAAAGCAGTGTGTTCACTATAACCTTGGGGGCAAGTACTTAGAAAAATAGACAGTGTTGATGGAGGTGTCAGTACTTGCCTGTCAGATTGTTAAATGAGGGTCTATAGTTTCACAGTTATGGGCTGCAGAGGCAGTAGAAAAGTAGCGGCCAGGTTCTGCTTGGACTGCTTGGCCACAGGAGCTTTAAATTAGAAATGTGAAGGACCATGGGGACAGCAGGGAATTGCAACGGGCATTAATCTAATAGTGCGTTCAGATGCATTCCTCTTTCCTTCCTTTTTGCAGTTCTGGCAGAACCTCTCCTGAGTGTGTCACTGGAATTGTTTTGTGCATGCTGTGTGTTTTTGTATGGCTGCACTTACTCATGTCTTGTGTGCCTGTGTGCAAACAAAGATAATTCAGTGCTCTGCATGGGAATGCATCCACACTTTGTGTTTGGAATGCCAGAGTGCCAAATTATACCATGTGAACGAGCAGGAGGGTCTCGGTGTCTGCTGCAGTCATTAGAAGGGGAACATGAATCTTTGCCTGTCCGTGTGCTTTGGGAGCAAGAGACTGGCTACAGAGAGAAAGACAGAGTGGGAGCATTTAAGCTCACACCTGCTCTTCATCCCAGACTCATTCTTTTTGATCATTGCCAACATTCTTTTTTCCTAATTTTTCTGAAATGAATGCAAATAATGAAATGCAGACATACATCATGTTGTTAAGTGATATATCCAACATATTTCCCTAAATTAATGACCTGACACAAAAAGAAAGTAAAGGAATAATTACAATCAAAGTGTCCTCCTTTATAAAAGTAATACAAGTTTTTTCTCTGACCCCTCTCCACAGGATTGGCCTTCTACTTCTGGACAAGCCTCTGGACAGAGAGACAACTGACCAGTACCGTCTGATTGTCACAGCCTCAGATGGTCACCCTGGAGGGGTAACGGACATCTAAACTATCTAAACTGATGACCTGATTCCTCAGGGTTGATGGTCTTCAAACCTTTTGAAAACATTAATCACAAGCAAAATATTCTCAAACAAGCTTATTAATTTGTGCATTTGGCTTCATGACTCCACATGCTACTTATTCTGGTAAAATCCACTTGTGTGTTTGAGCTCTGAGAGTATCATGCTGTGATTTTTGTGACAGACTGTCATTTTAGCCCATGCAGTGAAGTTAGAATTGTTTGAATTTGGCTTCTCGGCTTGAGCTTTTCACTTATTTTTTTTACAGTGAATTTCATTAATAACTTCTCTGGTAGCAGTTGTCTGTGTGATTATTTTTCCCCACTTGTGTTCATCTGAAATCGATTCCAGGTCTGTCTATTACTCATTCCCCTTCATTCAAATTAGAGTGAGTGTCACCGGCCAAAAAAAACCACTCTCACTAATATTTTGTTGGTCTGCCTTTAGCTTAACTTACAGCACAAATTTCCATTGGCATTGTTTGTGTACACGTATGCAGTGTCACAACATATAGTTCTGTCCAGAACTTTGTTGTGCCAATTTGTTTGTATTGATGCTGGGAGAGTTGCTGAGTAAAGTCTTCTCTAGCATATAACAAGGATTCTCAGTGGGATTAAGTTCTGGACTCTTTGATAGCCACTCATTTACAGTTTGAGCCTGATGATTCCTGACATCATCAAGAAAAAATCCATTGATGGAAAAAACCTGCTCATGGTGGAATGTTCAGGTAATCAGCTGACCTCATTTTCTGGGCACATAATGTTGTTAAACCTAAACCTGACCAGCTGAAGCAACCCCAGATCAGAACACCATCCCACAGGCTTGTATAGTAGGCACTAAGCATGATGGGTGCAATACTTTATCCACCTGTCATCCTATCCTGATGCACCCATCACTCTAAAACAGGATAAATCTAGACTCATCAGACAACCTGACTTTTTCCATTGCTACAGAGTCCAATCTTTATGCTCCCTAGAAAATTGAAGGCTTTTTTTCCCTGATTACCCTTTTTGATAAGTGCTTCTCTTAAGGCTACACTGCTGTTCAGTCTGAACCTGTTGAGTTCTCATCATATTGTGTGTGGAAATGCTCTTTTATATATATTTGTGAGTTCTTCTTTTTCCCCCAAACACATTTCTTCCTTGAATGATGATGGTTCATCATAATCCTTCTAGCAATATCAGCAGTGTTTTTAGTTATTTCCTTTCCTTGAAGCAGGCCGATAGTTTGACCCTCATGAAATAGAGTGACATCTTTTCCGTGATCAGAGAACACAGATCAGTTGTTTAAGAAATGAAAAGCTATTCAGTGCATCAACTGGGGTTACAGTAAGTAACCTGTTGCCAGCCACTGTAGTAATTAATGACTCATATACCTATTTGCTTGGTTAAATTGAAGCAAATAGGTAAGACTTTGTTGGCCAGGCAATACATTTTTGGCCAAAAAGTGTTTTAAAAAGCCTGAAATAATTCACCTGGAATAAAATGATAGTTTTTAACTGACAAATGGCAAATACCAAATGCTAAGACAGAAGTACCTTAACCAGCATATTGTTATTGCCTGTTACTAATATGCAGCTTACACAATGCCATTTCGAGCATAGCTCTTTGTAGAGCAAATGGATCAAATCAATTTTACCTACAGCTACTTTTTTAGATTGCTCTGCATATATTGTACAGTTACTATATTTGTGTTAAATACGTGAGTTGTGTGGTAATAAAAGCATCATGACTTATGTAATACTGAGTCTGTTAATATAGAATGACAGAAAAGCACACAAAAAAAATCTTGGACAGATGGATATTTAAATGAGTACTGCCACATAACTGTGAAACTGACATACTTTGAGCTTCTAAAATGCATCCAAACGCTTGGAATTGCTACATGTCCCGTTATGCAAAGTTTTAATTATAACCACCCCCATATAGTAAACTTCCTAATTTCCACATGTCCAAACCATAGCTCGGATAACATCAACGATCTCACCATTGTATAGTTTTCTCAGCATTGAGTGCATCTTTTAAAAAGTGTCTTCCATTTAGAGGTATCACAGGTAGTTGAGTCCTTATATTCACAGAGCTGTTTTTTGTCATTTTGGCTGGAAAAACTTCAGGCATTATGACAAAAATTGAATGCTGGCTTCTGTGTCTTCCACGAAGAGCAGATAATCACATAAACTGTCTTAATTTAATTACACTTCAGCTCACTTGGCACTTTTTTTTCTTTTTTGCAGCTGTATCTGTTCCAGGCAGAGGTGAAATGTGGTTTCCTTTTTAAGATGCTGTGTCTGATAGTCCGTGAACATTAGCTGATGAGCTGTCAATAGGGTGATGTTGATTTCCACCCCCTCTCACCTGCACACTCATGACAACTGAGATCTACAGCTAATTTGTATCTGCTGGCAAATATAATGTGTTGGTGTTGTGGAGTAATACATGACAAAGAATTTGTAGTATTTCCCAGTAATTGTGAGAGCAGTGCAAAGGGAGAACATCATGCAGCAGTTAGAGAGGGAGGGGCAGATGGACAGTGGTGGGGTCAGAGAGGAAAGAGCAAATAAATAAAGAGCATGTAAGATGAGGTTTCACCTCTCAGAATGAGGTAAACACAAGCTGATGCTCTTTGTCCTACCTACTGATGGACAGTTTGTACAAGCCAACACCCTTCACCTATAAATTGTGTGTGTTTATGTGTGTGGGGGAAAACACAGTAAATTGTTGGCTGACTTGTGTGGGCTAAATGTCACAACTTGGAAGAAATGTTGTCACAACAGGAAGAAAAGTTGATTGAGGAAGACGGGGTAAAGGTTTGTAGGAGAATAGAGGCGAGGAAGTCATTCAGTGCAAGAGAGTGCTGCCTAGACAGCTGGATACAGGAAAGGATCAAAATAAGCACAGGAGGAGGGGGACAGAAAAGAGATGGAGAGCGATAGAGAAAAGGATGGGGGACACCAGGGATTTGGATGTGTAATTAGTCCAGAACTTTGGTATCCATGGAAACCTGCCACAAGGAGCTAGCAAGCCAACTTCCCCCTGGTGCTACTTCCCTTTGAGTGCAGTCAAATCTGGACACACACATGCACGCATGCATTTTCCTTCACGGTATTAACTCTTTCTTGTACTCGTGGATGAAAAAAATTGTGCCCATCTTTGTGGTAAATTTAAAAGTGATCTCGACTGGACAGGCTTAGATCAAACACTGCCAGACAGACATGTGTCCCAAAAAATGGTATGCTGGGAAGGGGAAAAAAAGGAAAGAGTACATGACTCCTAACAAGCTTATCATATCAGTCCCTGCAACATGGCTTTTGGCTTGGATGGTCATTTAAAAAAACAAAAAAAGGAACATCACCCACCTCTGGATCTTTTAGACTGTGAGGACATAACACAAGGCATCACAGAGCTCCATCTATAATAGCTGCTCATTAATCATACTCGTGTCCATGGTGGTAGGGGGTTTTGGCTTTGATAAGGACACCCACGCCAGGATGAAGACACTAATTGGCTTCAGGTCTTTTGCGAAATGAAAACTACGCACAGCCTATCACAACACTGCCTCCTTTAACTTCCTACTTTGAGTAGTGATATAGCAACAGAGGCAGGTTTTCGTGATAAGTTGCAGTGTGAAATTCCATGAAAAGGCCGATTATGTATGTCTCAGAAGGTAGTACAAAGAAACAACAATGGTGGAGGTTTTCCCAAAGGACGGTGAGATGAAGGTGACATTAAGTAGGTCATTTTCTTTGTGAAATGTGCCACTGAATGTCTCATCTGTCGGGGCAGCTCCAAACAGCTGTCTCCCAGGAAGTTTTTCTTTTGCAAGGCCCAACTCCTCCCACAGCCTTCCTATCCTTCTTCCCCCCAAAGGAGACCATTTACACCATTATTTGCATACATGCTCCTCCCAGGGCACTGAGAGATTATAGATTGTGCATATCCAGCCAATTTTCTATGTTGATTTATAGAAGTGCTAAAGGTGTGTGTGCTGTGTCATTGTTTGAAGGTTAACAGCAGCACAGTGGCCCACACTGGCCTTGTAAATGAGTGAGGAAGAATGATGTGATGGATCTAGTTTCATGCTTTTAGCCCCCAACCTTGTACAATTTTCTCTTAATAACTACTAACAGGGCATCTTTCCCAAGAAGGAATGAAGAAGTTCTCTATGTGTTGTATACAGACACGTTGCTTATGTACATTTGTACACAATGGTGTACTGAGTTTAATTATGGTCCCTCATCACTTACAGTATGGAAAGCTGGCATGTATGACTGCCTTTACGTTACTGAATATTACTGAGAATCCCGTTATCAGTATGCACATACAGTATGCACCCAAAGTGTTTAAAGGCATTTATATAATAGAATTTTTTTAAAATTCCAACACGTTTACTTGGTGCATGTGAGTTTCTTTGTCACAGCTACAAAGCATTATAATAGTTTGACCAAAAGTTGATATTTTGAAACACTTTAGCATTTACAGTAGTTGTTCCAAATGATTGTGCTTTTTATGCAGAATCATTTTTTATGGTTGGCTTTTAACATTTTCCCTACACTAGGAATCATTTTCTGAGTGAATTAGTGTTTTTGCTCTTATTACCTCAGCCATCCTTCAGGAAGGGGAATAAAGAAGAAAAGGCTGAGGTAATAAGAGCTGGACTGAAAATCAATGATAAGAGTTCCTATGGAGTAATTCATCCAAATTTGAAATCTTTGGGTAAAATCAGTATTTAGTTAGCCAACATTTAAAGAAGAGCTTTGAATGTCCTTTAAGAAGCTTGGAGAACTATTCCTGGATACTGTTTTTGTTTTGTTTTTGTTTTTTGTTTTTTAAAGTGACAAGACAGCTTGGTTAAGGGATTTCAGGCTATGCTGAAAAATAAAGGTGGCTGATTCCAAACACATACATAAATAATTATAAGCTTGTTAGAATTGTACAAAGTATTTAATTTTTATCTAAATGAGAGCTCATGGATTCACTCATAAATGCTAAATGGTTCCATTTATCTCCAACAAAATGTATTTTGAAAGTATTTCCAACTATAATTATTATTTTTAATTGTCAGGTCTCCAAAAAAGTTGTCTGATTATAATCCTAATCCTTTTTTAAATGTCTACTTGAGCATGACACAGCTTTTAACAGTCACCCTATGAATTATTCATGTCAAAGTGTATTTACTCAAATTACATTATATCACATTTGATGCCTTTTTAGTTGTGCTTGTCATCTTTGTTTATGAAAAGGGAACACTCACTGTGAAGTGAATAACATTAGTTTTATTGTGCTCTCTGTTTGACTGTTTTTCCTTTAGACAACCACAACTACTGTGAACATAGTTGTTACTGATGTCAATGATAATGACCCGAAGTTTGACCTCACCATACCTTCAAATTTTTCTGTGCGAGAAGAAGAGGCCAACTTGTTTGTAGGACGAGTAAGGGTAAGTGTAATGTCCCTCTGTTCTTGCCTTGTAAATCTGATGTGTTCTGTTCATTGTTGCATGTCCTCATATTTTAAAGGAACACTGATACAAGACACTGGTTAACACGTCTGCTTGACAGATGAAAGATTCCGAGGTTTTCTCAGTCACTGCCTTCTACATGTTTTGTTTTTTGACTAAATTTGAAGTAGATGGACAATTTCTAAACAGTTTCTAAACAATGGTCTCATATGGATAGAAAAAGGTTTACAGATTTACCCAGCAACCACTTTAGAAAATCTCCACGTACATAAAATTTGTTATATCAGTTTTTTTGTAATTGCTCATACAAAAAAAGAATCTTGCCTCCAAAGGTAAATCGGCATAACCAGATCAGTGACATTTGTCATTTGTCAGGATATTCACATTTCATATCAAGCAGCCCTTCACATTTTTAGTGCGTGTGGAAATGGGCTGCTGCTAAATGTTTGGAGTTTATGACGTGTGAAATGCGACAAAAGGACATATGAAGGAAGTTTGGTGTCTGGATGCAGTAGAGCTCCCTTCAGTCTTACTCCCAAGTATTTCCTCACAAATGCAGCCAGCAGCTAGATTAAAGCTTAGTCCACCACACTGACTCTTCCTCAGCTGGCTGCATGCCAGTTTGAGTTGAGGCTGCGCCTTTGTGACTGAAAAGAAAAGTACATTAAAGTACTTAGCGCTACAAAATCCTGCTCTCCATGCGCATGCACGCAGAGACACCACAGATTTCCCTTGTACTAGCCCATAGCAACTGATCGAGAGCGTATTGGGGCATTTTGTTGAGTGCAACACTGTTAAAGCTGCAGAAATTGCAGGGAAAAAAAGAATAGTCATTCTTATATAATGTGATGTTTTTAATTTTAGTCATTTTGGTGATATTTGGTCACATTTCTCATATGTTACACTCCATCAGGCAAAATCCTGAAAGTCAGCAAGATTCTTTAAGAATCTTTTTGCTATAGCAGTCCAAAAATAAAAACATAGACTTGGAATTTAGGTGAAATTTTTAAACAAGTGTATGCTAAAATACAATTCTTAAATCATTTTTCAACATTCTTCGAAATCCAATACCACTTTTAAATTCTGCAGGCTTGCACTGCTAGATGATATAGAACAGATGATATAGTGCTGCTCCAGTTTGTTAATGGCAAACTACATAAATACATTTCTGGATTGACAACTGATAGTTCTCTGATTGAGAAATGTCTGCTTAAGGATTAAAGCTTCCAGATATTTATAATTTAGTCCTAAGATAGTTGTCTAAAAATTGGCTAAAATGTTAGTCCTAAAGTATTATTTCTATGTCCACCTTAAGCCTGTGTGTAGGAAATCCCTTTGCTTTTTCTCGTTTATCTCCTTGGTTTAATCCCGTCACGGAGGAGTGACATTTTACTTATTTTCTGTGGAAGGAGCATATATTTGCATTTTTGGAGATCTTGCTCACTGAACATTATTTGAGCGAACATGGCCTTCAGGATGAGGGGCCTAAATAAACTCTGTCTGTAACGCAGATAGCGCATTTGTTAATTTTCTTCTCTTTTTTGTATTACATTAGTGTTGTGTCTAAAGTAGTATTTGTTATTGCAGGAAAAGTGCAAATGCGTATATAATGATAACTGTGGGCTTTTAGCTTAAAATATAAATCACCACATTTCAGCAAAATGACATGTGCCATTTGCATTCCAGTTGACAAGAGGTGCAATAATAGATACCTTCATCACATTTGATATTAACCTTTTTAGCCACTTGGAATCATCAGTAATGTACAGCAGCAAGCATGAATACATTAGATAGAAATATGCAGGAGAACATTGTTTAACTGTGTGAGGTCAAAAGAAATTGAACAAAAATAATAGGTGGCTTGGTGTTTAATAATAGAGTTTATCTTAGATGAAAATGAATTTAGCTTCTGGCTGCATTGAGTTCATACACTGCGATGACACATGACATCTTGGCAAAGAAAATGGAAAAGGAGGGCAAAACAAATCTTACCATCCAGGGCATTGTCACTTAACATACATCGCTTAAACATTTCTCTATGTTTCATCATCTATCCTGACACACCAACCAATGTTTAGTAACTTGCAGCTTTCTTTCAGAAAACCTAGAAAACATCTTGTGATGTGGAGATTTTGTAGAAGCCTTGTACTGTGTGCATGTCTATAACTGTCTTGTGGAACAAATGCTCTCCTATCAAATCAGTAACCCACAGCTTACTGTCACATAATGTGCTAAGTGACAGAGGAGGGAAGGGTGGGATGCTGACTGCTGGCATAAGGCTTATTTGTTTCAACTGAAGTATTTCACATTCAAATCTGATTTCCACCAATAAAATTGGTTCGGTTTTCCTGTACTACTTTGAATTCACCTGTAGGAAGAAAGTTACAATCCAGCCAGCTACAAAGCTTTAGGCAATTGCCAACAGTGGAGATGATTGCAGTGGAAATGCATAATGCTGTTAAGTAGCTTATTGCTAGCCTTAAAGCATTTTGGATTATCGTTAGAGTAATTGGAGCTGGTTCCCACCTGTTCTTATTTTGTACACACTCATATAGACTGCAGATGATTTACCAGGTTATCACAACTGACAGCTTTGCTGGTTATGCTAATAGAGCCGTTTGTTCTGTGACTTACAAATCCTAACCATATAAGCCCATTCTATTTGCTCTTAGCAGGGAGTCATAATCTGAGCACGCAAATGACTGGAGGACAGATAGATTAGCGCTTGTGTCGCACACATCATGGAGGCATCATGAGAAATTGTTGCTAATTGGACAAGCTGTTGAAGATAGTTTATTTTTTACCACACAGATTCCTTGATAAAGTGAGTCTGATTGTTCGAGACATCTGAAAGAGATGCTACGCAGCTCTTTACTCTCCTCAAAAACACCCCTTAAGATTTTGTTGAGATGAAGACATCAGTGCTTGAATTTATTTTTAAAAATACTGTAGAGGACAGAGAACAGTGCAATAGCAGGGGGCAATTCAGAATGAATTTTAGGTTTCAACATTAATGATCCAGAACAAAAACAAAAAATAAATAAATCTACTAGACCCACACCAGCAGAGCACAAAGTAGACTCATTTCCCTTGTACTATATTAGAGGTCTGCGTGGGTCTGTTCTTTAAAACCCACCTACTCAAGCTGTTTTTGTGCTGAAGCCACCTGTACCTGCAGGATCATCTATTGCTCTCAGAGTCACTATATAGAGCCTGCCCACGAGCTCACAATTTAAAACTCGCAAGTTAGATTACTAAGAAATGCTGTCCAAATGTGTCCCCACAGAAACTGCTTCAGTGTGAAGAAAACTCATCATCTGGATCATATAATGTAATGCTGAGGTTGGAGTGGGTCTTGAAAACAGATACATAGCCATTAATATCCCAAATGCTAATTTAATGTAATGTTTTGTCATCTGTAACTTTAAATATACATATGCAACTCTGCAGTTCCCTGAAAAAAGCTGTTTCCTCCCTCAATTTCCACAGTCTGTAAATATTTCAGATACTTTACTTAGTTGGGTTTTTGTTCTTGTTTTTTAAATATAGCCGCTGCTTTTATAGACACGGGCATATGTAATGACCCATGATTGGCTCTGTGGTATTTATTTGAACCCTGCATGATCATAATGGCACCACAGTAGCATTCCCTTGGGTCTTTAGTTCGCTGATAATTATTGTAATAATTTTTTTTTTTTTTTTAAAAAGGAAAACCTCTGCATCTCAGTTATATAATCAGCTCTTCACATGATGTATTTGATGAATATTTCTCTCTTGGAGTATTGATATATGTAAATGGTTTCTCGTTGTTTCCCACAGGTTTTTCTAAAGCAGCTTCAGGAATGAAAAGAAGTGTATTGATTGCATTTCATTGATGGCTCATTTAGCATAATATTAACTGCTTCCACCATTAAAATGTGGTAACTCGCTTTGGGTTTTGCGGCGTTTAATGTTAATTGTTTGAAATCAGCAAGAACAAAGGCTGCAAGTGTCAGAGATCAAATAACCCATGCGAGGTCAAAGAAAAGACTTCAATTTATGTGGGCGAGCCGCCTAGATATTATGATTCTCTGCATTTCTTCACTGAATAAACAAAGATAAACATTAATCTTCCCATAACTGAGCCCTCTGATCATTTTATTTTTTTCCCAGGCTACTGATCCAGATGCAGGCGCTAATGGCCAGGTGCGCTACCGGATCGTGAATCATCCCGACTTGTTTACAATAAGCGCTAATGGAAGCATCTACACACGAGTGCCACTTGATCGGGAGTCAAGAAGTCAGTATGACTTGGTGGTTGAAGCCTCGGATGGGGCAGTAGACCCGCGACGGACCTCTTTCACTGTCTCAGTCCAGGTCACGGATATCGATGACAACAGCCCGGTGTTCTCCCAGCAGACTTATGTGGTGAATGTGCCTGAGAACAGCCCTGTGGGAACTGTAGTCCTGCAGCTAAGTGTAAGAACTTGATGTCCAAGCGATTTTCACTAAATGTCTCCTTTCCCCTGATGTATGGTACAGGTGTTTGTGTTAAAAAGGCTTTTGGAATCTTTTAACTTCAAGAGCTCGCAATTTAGCAGTTTAAAATGTCAAATGCTTCCAGACAGAGGCAATTATGCAGCCAGCAACATATATAATCTTTTATGCAGTGCGGTGACAGCTCTCTGCGCTTTTTTTTTTTTTTTTAGAATAAAACTGAAAACATCCTCAAATCGTTGGCTTCAGAAGAGAATTGTTTTTCGATCCTTCACAACCAATGTTAATAGAATGTTTATTGTTTGTTGTGAAAGAAATTGAGAAAAACGTTTTATTTATTTTTTTTCAATTGGTGTAATCTGTCTTTGGCATCGCTTCAACCCTGTCAAACAGCAGTGCATTTGTTTGCGCCGAAGTGTAGTGTCGAAAAACCCGGTGCACGAGGAGCAAACGCGAGCAGAGGGGCGAGTAATTGCTGGGATATTGTGAGTGACATCTCCCAGACGGGGATAAAGCTTGAGGGGGAGGGGGAGAAGAAGGGCAGGTGGGGGCCGAGGTCGAAGGGTGTGAGTGACAGTGGCACTGTGACACCATTAATCTCCTAGACGACACATTAACTCTGAGCGCACCAGGGTGGTTGGCAAAATACCTAAATAGCACAGGTGAGATAGAACAGAACAGAGTCTGTCTTAGTTGTTTTTTTTAATCTCACACAAAAAGAAAGAAAGAAAAAGTGACTAAGATAAACTATATTGTATCAGATAGCTATGTATGTGGGTTCCTCAGTGCATATGTCTGTCTTCCCCTGAGGATGCAACCTATCAACTTTGAAGGTGTTCATAAAGGAATTTTTGTTTTTCAGATTTTCAAGACATTGGCCCTTTAGCAATAATCTTAAATGTTGTATTTCCACAGTTAAACTTACTTAGTGTGTGTGTGTGTGTGTGTGTGTGTGTGTGTGTGTGTGTTAGTGTTTTCGTGCAGATGAGCATGTTTAAGTGCAGACCACACTTGGCACTCTCAATTCTGTCAGCTCTGAGGGTGTTAGCAATGCTATGAGAGTAACAAGAGTTCATTTCACGGCAAATTTTGATTTAGTTTTAGTCATAATATATGGCATCTGAATTGTATTAGTTTTAGTTGACTAAATATCATAAGGTTATGGTAGAAATAATAAATATAAAGTGTAAAGTTTTTCCTTAACATTAAATGCAAAATGTGTCCTTATGTCAACTCTTCTCTTCCTCTCAGCGTTGGCATTTTGTTGCTTTTGTGAAAAACAGGAAGCACGGGAGAAACAAGGTCACAAACATTCATGGTCTTAATACTCAAAGATTTCCGTTCGCCTCAGCTGCGCTTTGTGTTTACTCTTACTTAACAAATGTAATAACTCTTAAGTCTTCTTTTTGCTTATGAGTGAAATACTGCGTAAGTGGCTAATGAATCCCCCAAAAACATGTCCTGCATTATGCTGCATCTAATATATCTCCTATTGAAGCAGCCATCGCTCTACTTTGCAATTTGTGATTTAATGCAATGAGTTCTCCATAGTGATTTAATTTAATCAGTGTCTGATTAATGACTGATCCAAGTAGCTCCTACACTGTAAAAAAATGGGCATCACCATTCGTTGTCTATGGCCTATGCTTACCAGCTTATATGAAAGGTTCTGATTTTGAAATTATAATGTTAGGCTCGTCCTCTCTCCTCTTTCATCGCCTTACTTTCTCCAGTGTTAATGCTTTCCTTTCCTCCTCCTCCTCCTAGGCGGTAGACTTAGATCTCTTCTCCAATGTCACTTATCGGATCAAGACTGAATCAGCCAGGCAGCTGTTTTCCCTGAACCCTGTAACAGGGGTGTTAGCTGTACTGCAGACCCTGGACTTCGAGTCCCTGGCAGCTATGAACATGGGGGCTTCTTACACATTCCAGGTAGAAGCTGTAAACCAAGGAGGGGTCATGCCTCCTGGGCAAGCTACTGTCACAGTCCACATCACGGTAGGAGCCTCCAGATAACTTGTCTACTAAACCCTCCTGTGTGTTATTCTCCTTTCATCTTCCTGCACTGTCCCTCTGGATGTGCAGCACTGGCAGTGAATATGTAGTGAATTGTTAGCATAGTTTTACATTAGTAATAGCTTGCATAAGCCACAATTCAAAAGGGGATTGGAGAATAGAGACACATTACAGTATTGTACCTGCACTGCTTTGTGATGTTCAATTCAATTTAATGCCATTTATTGCAAACGCGACTGTATTCCCTTTGTGAACCACGTTTTGGCCTCCTGACCTGCTCGTCCTCTCAGCATTACCGGAAGGGGAAAAAAAGAATTGATGGATATGTGTTTCTGTCTGGCACACAGTGCCATCCCTGACTTGAATGACTCATTAGCTTTGTGACAGCAATTATGTCAGGTTTTTCAGGAGCTTGTGTTCCCTTCCCAGCCTTTCAAGAGATTAACAGCTGAATCCCAACGAAAGGATTAGACACCTTGTATTGTGATACTGTTCATGTGTGTATGCGTGTGTTAATGGTCGTGCGTTTTAACTCTGAGGTATTCTTCAAAATGTGTTCACATTTATCTCTGTGTATGAATTCGGTCCACCCACAGTGACTGTCTCCAAGTCTGTAGAATTAAGCTTTTGATATTCCACAGAATGAGAGCAAGTGCCTATCCAGCAGGCTCACCACATGGTCTGCCAACCTGTAGAGTGACTTTGTCCTCTGATAAGGAAAAGCTTTGTTGCATTCTTTTTGCTGTCACCCAGGAATGGTGTTTGATAGGATAAACATTGCACAGCTACTGATATCAAAGCAGCGACTGCTATTTCAAATGGCGGATATGAGTTAGAATGAGTCTAATGGATTCATACAGGCTTCCAGGGAACTAGGGATGGAGATAGAGTTGATTCCACTGATTTTACTTCCTTCCCCGTGTAACACATCCGGAGAGTTATTTGAAGTCATCTATGTTTGATTTTTTTCCCTTGTATTGTTTTGTTATTGCCTCCTTTATCATATACTTTGCTGTGATGGATTAACTGCTTTCCTTGTGCTGCTGTTTTGAGTCTCCCAAAGTTTTTCCTTTTGTTTTCAACTTCATAAATGCACGTGTTTGTATGCGTGTGTGTGGCAAAAGTGTCGCATGTACTCTACGTACACACGGCTTCCTTGTGAACACTTGCAGCACAAGGATCAGACTTTGTTGTTCAAAGCAAGGGCTGTATCATAGATTTTCTGCTAGGAAACACTAAACCTGTGTATAGATCAAAGGGAGACTGCCCTCCACCACTGAGCTTATAGAACACATACTGTTGCCCATGGCTCAGCCAAAACAGAGGAAAGTAAAGAGAAAATTCAGGAGAAGGAAACATCAGGCTCCAGTAGTTATAATAGAGTTAAGCTATTCCTGAGAGAAATGTGAATGGCTTACTGAGTTTTTCATTTTCACACAGCAAAGCAAGGTTTGCATAGTTGACAAGATTTTCTTTCTTTGCAGACTCAAACATGGTAGAGCTTTGCTGTGCATTGTTAACTAGGAGAAGGTGATTAAAGCTGTGCTGTTATGATGACACTCTCACGTGTTCTAGGGAGCAATTAATAACTGAATGCTGATAAAACAATTTTCTTTTTTTTAAATTTCTAAATGTTGGAACACAGATACTAGCCTGAAAGCTCAGCATACACATACACATTTACATAATGATCTGATTAAATATTATTGTTATTAAACGAAATTTTGCCATCATCTGTTATTCTCATCATTTGCTAGTGACAGTAAATGTTTTGTACCTATCCACTGTTAGCAGGTCCTGTAATGTTTATCTAATAAAGGTAGTGGCTATGTCATTAATTAGTTAGAGGCTGGACTTTCTTTTGCCTTCCAAACTGCTTTAATTCTTCAAGAGTTTTGAAAAAGTTTTGAAAACATTCTTCAGGGATGTTTAGTCCAAAATGACATGATGACATTTCACAGGCTGCACGTCTATAATGTGAATCTCCTGCTCGTGTACCTTTGAGACGTGATGATGGATCAAATCGTCGCATCTCAAAGGTGTGCTCTTGCTTTGAAATCTGGTGACTGAGGAGGTCATTTGTCTAGAGTGAACTAATTGTCATGTTAAAGAAACCAGTTTGAGATGATTTTAGCTTTGTTTATGCTGCTGGAAGCAGCCATCACTAGATAGGTACAGTGAGGTTTTGAGAACATATTCCCATCGCCACCAGTATAATGAATTGTTGACACAAGGCAAGGCAAATCGATCCTTGTGTTATCCAGGGAAAATTCTGACCCTATCATTCAAATCAAAACGAAGCATTTTTTTCCCAATCTTCAATTGTCCAATTTCAGTGAGCGTGTGTGAATTGAAGCCTTGGTCTCCTGTTCTTAAACTATAAAAGCCCAGATCAGGTACCACCCCAGCATTAAAAGCCCACAATGCATCACAGATGCTTTTCTGCATACCTTAGTTGTAACAAGTGGTTATTTGAGTTTGAGCCTGTAGTCTGGCCACTTTGCTCTGAGCGTTCACATCAACCAAACCTTTTCACCCAAAGAACTGCTGCTCACTTGATATTTTCCTCTCTTTTGAACCTTCTCTATAAACCCTAGAGATGGTTATGCAGTTAGTGGCAGTAAGTGTTGTCTGATAGAACCAACTATGCCATAATCTTCCCACTTCTGATGCTCATTTTGGACTTAAACAGGTCATCTTGAACATGTCTATATGCCTAAATGCGGCTGCTGCCATGTGACTGGCTGGTTTTTGTGAAGTTTAAAGCAGTTGAATATGTGTTCCTAATGAAATGACTGAGTATAGCATAAACTGTGTTTGTTTATCTGTGAAGTGAACATACTTGGATGAGATTTTTGCTTCAGATCAAACATTCTGGCACAGAGAAAAACAAGAAAAAACCTAGCCATTGTATTAGTTTAATTGCTAATGAAACATTTAATTTTCAAACAGCTGCTGTGCTGTTTTCACATGCCTTTATGTTGCACGTGGATGTATTCTGTTCACTATTAGGAATAGCGTAATACACACTATTGGGCACTGTTGGGCGTTACTGTTCTTAAATGAAGGTATTAAGTTAAGTGACTGAGCTGAGAGGTCTGCATAGTGAGCAGATATTACTCTGTTATCAAATACACAATAATACTTTGCTAATGTTAGATGAGCCTCTCCTCTGTATTGCTGGCTCTAGTAAGTAAGCAAGTTGAAAAGACTTACTCTTTAGTTTTCTTATGTATGAAATCCTGACTGAGTTAATCTGTGTTTCAGCACTTCTAAGGCAAAAGCAAAAGCGCCATGGACTTGGCTGTTTGTTTGCTAATGATATGTCTTCTGGCATAGGAAAAAAACACCAAATGCATATGTTAACAAGGCTACAAACTAGAGTTTATTTGGGGGACTTACTTGCTCTGCCAGGGGGCATTCTGAATTACTGAAGTGTTAACTGAAGTCAAGTAGAGCAGCAACTGCAAAATCTATCATATTATTAATTCACCATGCAAACAGCATTAGAAAACATAGTGGTGATAGAATATTGCTGAATTCATTTGACCCTTTCTATTCCCTTCTGCCTTACTCTATTAATACATGAAGTAAAAATAAGCTTCTTTTTTTTTTTTTACTGATACCTGATGTGCTTTAACATATGAACTGCAATGTTTAGGTAAACAGTGGCACTAAGATATTAACTGATCTGTGTTTCATTTCAGGACATGAATGATTTCTCCCCCATTTTTAAGCAAGACCTGTATAAAGGCATGGTGGCACCCAATGCAGAGAAAGGAACAGTCATTACCACAGTTTATGCTGAGGACCAAGACCCACCAGTGAGTACTGTTTGAAAAATGCTGTGCACATGTTATGATTAAGATATGCAACAGTGGAGAAAGAGATGAAAGGGGGGTGGGGGGCTTTGATTGATGATTTCAGACCTACTTGTTTCTGTCAGAATGTCATTTCACATGATGCATTTAAAAGATGTTTTCAGGACCTCAGTGCTCTTATTAGAATTGCAGTGCTGTGTGAAAGTTTATTCCAAACCAACTCTAACTGCAAGGTGTGCATCTCCATTTGTATGAGTCATTCACTCGCCTCAGAGTGTCAGATTTCCTCAAACTTCTTTGCCTCACTATCTGAGCAGGATCTGTTGGGAGCTGTCTTAATATAGTCTGAAATCCAAGGAACATTACTCCATGCAGAAAAGAAATTGTGACAACCGGGGGAGACTGGAAATGTGTACAGTTTTTATGAATTCTTGTCTTAGTATTATTTAGCTGAGAAAATCTTCATATTTTATTGGACTTGGTCACCCAGCAGTGTTCTCGACTGCACTGGTTTATTCCTCTTGGCTTTTATGTGTGATTTTTATATTTAAAGCAACATTATCAAATTACTTCAGTGATCAAATTTGATTATTGATTTATCTTTAAAAACTTTCAGAGTCAAAAATAGAAATCTGAATTTCCTAGCGACCTCCTCGCCATGTGCTAGTCGTGTCCAGCTCTGGATGTTTTTTGGAAAGCAAACTTGATGCTTCTTATTAATAGCACAGCCGCTGGTCGGATCTCACCAGGTCTGAAGAATCTTGCATTCTCTGCAGCATGTAAGCACAGTGATACTGATTCCTGTCAGTGCCAGCTGTAGGTGGTTGAGCATCTCAAGAATGTCACAGATTGCACATCTTACCTTTCCTCCCAGAGAAAACACTCCCACATCCTGGGTTTCTGTCTCTCAGGAGGTACACCTGTCCATCAGATAGTTGATAGTGAACTCCTAAAATCCAAACCCTGTGTATCATCATTTGTAAAATGAAGTCTTGTTTTTTCTTTCATGGTCACTATTTTAACTGACAAAGATGTAGCAGCACTAAAACACAGTTTGGAAATCATCCATATCTTCCCACAAAGTCATGGAGTGACATGGGAAAATATTTTAACGGAAAGAAGTGTTGGTTTACTAACAAGGGCTGACTAACCCAGTTTCTGTCATGGACACACCTGTTAGGTGGAAAGAGTCTAGTGATTTCTAAACATGCCAACAAATGTCCCTCTCTGTTAAGCAGGCTAGCAAAACCCTGCCAGCATAATAAAGAAACAGAATTGTCATGTCAATCTGACACATGTAAGTAATGAGTGTGTTTTGTGAAGGTTTTAATGCATTTCTCCTGAATGAGTTTTTCTTTTTTTTTATTATTTTTGTAGAGGACATTTTGTACTTTGTTGTAAAGCTAGCATAATACCTGTCCACCTGCACCTTAGCAGAAGTGATACTAATGGGTTTTAAAAAGTAACTGCATTTTCTGCACACCACTCAACCCCATAACGTCAATGTTAATATCACCCTGAACGAGAGAGGAGATCACCATGGAGACAAATGTTCCAGTATAAACCTTTTATTCTTCAGGGGAAGATTTAAACAGTCTGTTATTTTTGAGTCTGTTGTTTTTTTTTCTTCTGTGATTGGGTTGATCACGGCAGAGGCAGTTTTCTTCTTTTAGCGATTCCCATTTCCTCAGTAACCTTCTAGTCACTTACAAGTCAAATGAGTCATTTGTAATTTCCCAAAACCAACAAAATAAGTCGTATTGACGTGTTGACTTTATTACACTCTCGGATCAAGGCTTGCTTTTGTGTTGCCTGTCTCTGAAGCATTGTTCAGTGCCTCTCAGGGCTTCTGAGATTGATCAGTTTTAATGAATTTGCTATTTTTATGTTGAAGAGAATTAGAAATAAACACCCACACATCTTATTTTTAATTGCATTTTCTTCACTTGTTAAACAGTGAGGGTGATCTTTGTTTTTTCCCCCCCCCTCTCTTACTGCATTTGAGCATTGCTTGTCATGCATGACATTTTGGGCGCCTGTTTGCAATGTTAACGACAGTGAGTTCACTCAGGCGGTGTCTATAAAAAATTCATATCCCATGTGTAGAATGTCATACAAGACCAAGTGGTTGTGCAGCTGAACGTTTCTGTGGACACGGCAGACAAAGACAAATATTCCTGTAACAACACTCAACAGTTTACATATTTTTGTACATCTCTCCTGAGTTATGTGGAGCACCAATTGCTTTTAATTTCTAGTTTCTCGAGGAATATGAGAATATAAAGAAAAGTACTCTTTTCCAGTGAATAGTTTTGCTGTCTGGGTTTTTATTTTTATTCCTATTTATTTCTTTATTTAGCATTATGGTCTTATTTTTTTTTATTTCTGTTTATTTATAACAATATGTTCTTGATATTAAATTAGACACTTCAAATGAGAAATTATGGGCACAAAAAACAGATATTGGCAATACCAGAGCAAAGCTGCTGCCATCACTGCAGAGGTCTTACTACTGAAGTTAGTGGGGGATATTTTTTTCCGTAATTGGTGGTCCTGGTCTGACATCTTTTCAATTAAATGTCAGAAAACAATCTGAAGAGCTTTTAGAGATTGGATTTTGTTTTATCCCCTTAGTGAATTCACTCAGATGGTTTTGTAACCTCTAGGAGACACATTTTTGTTAGTAAGCCTCCCAAGAGATACACTGCTACTACAAGCTTTACCTCTCTCTAGTTCCAGGTTTTACCTAGTCCTCGAGGAGCAAAAGCTGTTCAGCCAAAGAAGGAAAGCTTCAAGAAGATTATTAAAAATCAGACTCAGTTTTAGGTCCACAGGAAGGGAACTAGAATAAGATAAGCTATAGAGATGATTAGTAATCAGCAACCGTGGTTAATGTTAATCAGAGGTTCATATTAAAGTCCAGGCTGGCATTAATGAATGCAAAGTGTGTTACCTTGGAGACTAAAAAGATGAATTTATGAATTTTTCTTAATATTATTTCCAATTAGATTACTAGATTTGAACCAATGAATAACAATGATTTTTATTTAGGAGTATCTGATGAGAACCAAATTATGAGGAAAAGCTCTCAGTCGTGTTGCTAAGCAAGTACTTTTACTAGTCCTTTATGACCTGACTGCATTTTGTATCAGATTACCCTGAAGTACTCTGTTTTCATCATTTTTCTTTTCATTTGAATATGTAAAATGTGGGGTCCAGATAAGTGGATTGTTATTGCATTGATATTGTTCGTGCTCTTCTTTCTCCTTCCTCCAGGGTACTCCGGCCAGTTTGGTTCGCTACAGAGTGGATCTGAACAGATCGCCATACAGTGGGAGTATTTTTGATGTGGAAGCAGAAACGGGGAGAATTATCACTAAGGTCAACCTCAATGAAGAGCCCAGTGTCACCTTTAACGTGAGTGACAGCCATTATGTCAGCAGAGGTGGTGATGAGGTCCCTTTGCTTAAAGTGTCAGTGTCACTTAATGGTTGCAGAGATGAGGCAGAAAAAAAGATGTGCTGTTTAAGCTTTTAAAGGAGTTAAAGCTGAATTATGTTTAGGTGGGTGGTATGTGTTATTGTGACATCTGTATGAATGCCTGGACCCAAGGTTTCATTTTAACAGGATGGCCACTGCTATTTACCTTACCTGTCAGTGCCTTAAATGTTGTGGTTGAGTAGTTTATAGCACATAAGACAACCGGTGTGCTAGTGGCAGTAAACGGTGTTTAGTTATGATTATCAGCTGAGTGATTGTGAGAAATATGATATAAGATACAGTGGCGGTGCTGAAAGCCTGATTATTACAGGACAGTATATAACTGGGGAAATAGCCAGTGATTGTAATTCATGACTGACATAATTCTGCTTTAATACTCTACTCAATAAAGTAGCACTTTATTTGGCTGATAAAAAAGCTATAAAATCTATTTAAAAAGATATTTATTGGCTTAAAAAATTCACAATAATTTGACACGTCGAGTTAGTAATGACGTGATATAACATGTAATCATGACGTGATTGCAGCAGTGGAACTGACAATTGATTATAATGGTATAATGATAAAATCATCATAGTCATAGTGCTGTCTTTTGTCTGTCTGACTTGTTTTAAAGTGATACAAGTTCCACTAAATTTTAGTGGGTTAGAAATGTGTGTAGTCTTTTTTTTAAATGATACTTTAAAATCAAATAACGTTTTGATTTTAACTAACTTGTCTCTGTGACAAATAATATAGTTTTCTAGATAAAACAAATCCCCTCCCAGGCATTTTACATAGAGCTATTTTTAACAATTTCCAGTGACTTTACATAGGCTTGTGGGTGTGAACACTTGAGCATGCGCTGCAGGATATTGTGCCCTAATCTGTCTTTTTTTTTCTTTTACTTACACTCTTTTTTTTCTTCTTTTTTTTTTAAAGAAACAACATTTTTATGTTCATTCTCTTTCAGCCCCCTCCCTTCCCCCCCTTCCCCGAGCTCCTTTCTCCACAGTCTATGAATGTAGATCAATACGTTCATTCTCACTCTCTGGGAGCTTTGCAGCCTGCTCGCCACAGCAGATTTGCCGTTGTGTCTTCATTAGGATGCTGAACATGTTTGCAAAAATGACTGGCAATCCCCAAAAAAGGAATTATTTGTGCAGAGAGAAGACGTTGAGGCTAAAAAAATGTATTAATTTAGTGCTTGCATTTGCATGTGTCTTTTGTTCACATGTTTTCTCTTGCTCCACTGCAGCTCTTTGTGATAGCCTATGACAATGGGGAGCCAGTGAAATCTAACAGCACTTTGGTGGAGATCACAGTCCTTCAGCCTTCTCGCATCCCAATCTTCACCCAGGAAGAGTACACGTAAGTCTCCTTGACACGGCTGTTGATGTAGCTGCCTCCAACCTGTAACTTTACACACCAAAGAGCAGTTTAGGCTGTAGTGCCAGACAGGGGCAATAGGTGTAAAACGCTGGAGAAAGTGGACAAGAACACCTGAAGACACATTTGTGTCTGTGGTCACATCACATTCATCTTCCCCAATATTCTGATCAATATTTAAGCAGTTGGTGATATGCACAAAGGGTTTGAGGTCACAATTTCATGAACATTTATAACTGTGTTAATGATGGCTTTACAATACATGACAATTTTATTTATATAGCACATTTAAAAAACCACAGGTATGCCAAAGTGCTTCACAGAACGAGTTAGAGCAATAATAAATACAAATACAAATAAAATATACTAACAGGCCGGTCACATAACTAACCAATAATACACCAGGCATAGTAGGCACAACCCGAAAGGCTGAAGGTTAAAACATTATAAATATTAATAAAGCGAAAAAGATAACTTACAGTACACCAAAAATGCGGGCTCTAGGAGGCGGGGAAAGCAAGGCTAAACAAATACGTTTTTAATCGAGATTTAAAAGATTGAATTGAATCAGACGCCCGAATAGCTAGAGGGAGGTTATTCCAGAGGTAGGGTGCGACAGCGGTGAATGCCTGGTCACCTCTGGTCTTGAGCCGAGATCTAGGTCGCACCAGGAGCATTTGGCCCGCTGATATAAAAGCTGAGGAGATCCGTTTGCGTTATTGTTCTCATGTCATGAATATTCTGCAAAGAGGTATCATTTCTAATACGGCATCTCCCAGCTCCATGATGCTCTTCTCTGTGCTTGACTGATCACTGAGTTTTATGTATAAATATATATTAGAGCTGCAGGGGAGATGCTGCATATCATCGCTGCTGTAAATCACATTTGTGTCTGTCTGTGGGAGAAACAGGGCTTTCCTCTGAGTTTATTAAGAGTCTCTTTTGACAAGATTAACCACTTAGACTGTTAAACTTGCAGAGGAAGATGCAAGATGAGAAGACATAATCTACAGTGGCCTAAGATGACTAGTGGATTCGTATACAATATACCCTCTATAGACATGCTCATCTACAAGGCTGGGTGGGCTGATAATACTCTGACTCAGAAGGAGGCCAAGAAGTCATACATAATTGAATTATATAAATGTAATTAGAATTAAACTATAATTCAAAATAAACATGGATTATTAACCTGCCAGCTGACACTGCTGAGAAAAATATTCTTTGATGAGGGCAAACTAGTGTTAACGGTTGTTTTTTTTGTTTTTTTTTATTTATTTATTTTTTTGCCGCTGTAGGTCAAGTTCTGCAGCATTCAGACTGTGAAGCGTTAAGGTCTGATGGCATAGTTACCTGGCACATTGCGGTCATTAGGAGCTTAAAGTAAAGCTTGTTTTAAGTGGATTGATTTACTAGCTTCTATGTCAGTTAGACTAGGGAGTGTTGGCAAGACTGTCTTCTGCAACAGAGTTCGGTAGGCCTTTATGCATAAGACAGGGAAAAGTAAGTCCTCACCAACCTGTCAACGCAGCACTTTAGGTTTTATTTCATTGTTTGTGCCTGGCTTTGTCTTTCAGCCTATCTCACCTTTGGTAATTTGTACCTGGTAGAGTGTGTGTATATGTGCATTCCTCATATGGTTCAGTGTGTGCACACCAAATAAATAATTCCCTGATGGTTTATAATCCAGCACTTTGTGTGTGTGCTCACGTTCCTCCGTTGCTCAGCTTTATTCAATGATTGATACACAGGCACAGCAACATAGCTGTTAAAAGGCTATTGATTAATGCTTTGAATAAGTGGTATGTCTGAAGCACACTCAGAAGGTCGAGACCACAGGCATAGACCTCTGTAGGGTTTCACATTAACAATGGTAACCAAACGCAGTGGAAGGCCTGCTGTAAATTATGAGCCGTGAAAGCATTAGCCAGGTGCTTGAGCCTCTCCTGCTGGACAAGGTTCTCTCCAGTGAAGAGTATCCAATCTGCTCACTCGCAATGATCTGTCTCCTCATTCCCAGTCACTCTGTCTCTCCACATTGTCCTCCCCCCCCAAGGAACCTTCTGAACACAAATCACTTTCTAAATGTCCACTGAAGATCTCGTCTGTCTCTGTGAAGGCAGTTAGTTATAGCAGCAATCAGGTGAGCTATGCCTACAGCACCAAAGCACACAATTAAAACAAGTCTGCAGGGCTTTGACTGACTTAATGATTTTTTTCTACTGCTTTATGGTTGGTCTCCTCCATCTGTCAGAGGGAAATGAGAAGCTCCCAGTCAATGCTGGATAAAATAAATGGCTTATGCCGCAGTTGCTGCTTTAGCGGCATGTTACCACTTGCTTTTCAGAAGAGTTTAGATAAACATCTTGTTGTTTTTGTCTGTCTGAAATGTAGATAAAAGCATTATCTCAATATTTACTTAAACCTATATCTACTATGAAGCCATTTTCTCGACGCAGTACACAGTTTAGTGTTTTCTTATTGAAATATGTAAGACTATCCCCGAAGGTCTTGCTGGATGCTGAGTGGGAACATGTGCTGCTCTATAACTTGTGTGTACCTTTCAGCACTGATCATGCCTTTCCAGATGTGCAAGCTGCCAATTCCATAAGCACTGGTCCACCCACATAGAGTTGTGGGCTTTTGATCTGAGAGCTAATAACAAGCCACATGGTTCCTTCGGCATCAGTGTTTTAAAAAAAAAAAAAAAAAAAAAAAAGTTGTGATTCGTTTGACCAGAGACCAGTTTCCATTTTGCCTCACTCCCATTTAAATGAGCTTTGGCCCAGAGAGGATGATGTTTCTGGACCATGTTTACACATGGCTTCTTCTTTTCATGAGAGAGCTTTAACCTGTAACTGGGAATAGCATGATAAATGGAGTTCACAAATAAGAATTTGTGGAAGTTTTCCTGATCCCATGCAGTGATTTCTGTGACAAAATTGTACGTTTTCAATGATTTGTTTTCATTTTAAATGATCATATTATGCCCTGTAGATGATGAGATATTCTAGTTTTCACAATGTCATGTTGAGAAACATTATTCTCCACAATTTGTGTATGAAGTTCTTTGCAGATGATGAACCTCTGTCCATCTTCATATTAGAGAAACTCTGCCTCTTTAGGATGTTCTTTTTCTACCCAGTCATGTTACTGATCTTGTGCTAATTAACCTGTTTGGTTCAAAAATGTTCCTCCACCTGTTTTCATTAGTACAACTGACTTTTTCAGGCTTTTTTTTTTTTGCTCCTTTTTGAGACATATTGCTTGCCATCAATTTAAAAATGAGTCAATATTTTTCATAAAATAGTAAAACGTGTCAAATGGCTATTTTTAAAATGTGTTTTTTATAAGATTTTGACATTCTACACAGAATCTCAAAGTTATTGGAACTGAGATTGTATATTAAACTTTATCTTTTTCCCTTCTCATCCTCACTTTCTCTTCTCAATCACACACAGCAGATTTTCTCTTCTTTTTGCCTTCTGAACTGTCAGACATCAGTTCCTTGCTGACTTGTTGATTCAGCAACTGGAATGATGTAATTACTATGCTTTAGTTTTTCAAGGCAACAGGATGAGTATTTGACACTGTTTAAATATATTATATGCTTGAACTAATTCTCTATTCATTTAAGGCTTTCCAGTGTGTTTTTATGTGAAAGATTGTGAAGAGATTAATTATATCAATGTGAATGAGCAGACAATGATTTTGCTCAGGTTTTTTGGGTGATAAAGATTTTTCTGGAGCTCTATCATTAAATCAGAGTGAATGGCTCCTTTAAATGGAACTCACGCACACAACCCTTTAGGGAAGTCTTTAGCACTGGGCACATGGGAAGCAACTGAATATTTACTGAATATATTTTTTCTCTCTGTGTGTGTGTGACTAGAGAGGAGGGCTAAGCTGCTATCTAACATGGACCCACTATGTGAATCCTCCTTCTTGTACTGAGGCTACATCTCTGGCCCTATGTTACAAACCTGTGATCTGAGCAGTTTCCCGTGCTGCTTATCTCCCCCACGGCACTTCGCCTTCTAAATCTACTCTAGATCACATGAGACTTTTGCCTCACTGCTTCTGAGTATGTCATTTTGCTCTCCTCCACTTCATCCTCCTCCCTCCCCCCTACCTTGCCGAGCTCGCACATCCCCCGAATTTTTCCTCTCAGCTTATATCTCTGTCCGTTTCTTTCTCACTTTGTCTTCCCTTTGCGTCTCTCCTCATTTTATAGTTCTTCATTTTCTCCTCAGCAAAGGGATGTATTTCTGTAAATGTCAGCTGTCACTTTGGTGTAAGTTTTGTGCTCATTATAACTAAATGCTCATTGCATATATGTTGCATTACTAAACATGTAATGCTATTTGTTTCCAGGTGTTATTTTAAGCATATGTCTCTGGAAATAATTGTGTTTTTCTAGCAAATATTCAGATTTATACAGAGTATTTTCCTTCTACTTTGTGTTGTATCAGAAAAATAACTATCATAAATGATATACATTTCATTCTACCTGCACACTTTCCAGGAGATTGCCATAGTTGGCCTTTTTTACTAAATGGAAAGAATATCATGTGGCCGTTACACAATACCTGTCAATAAATAGTTTAGTAATCTTGGTGAGAGCACTACAGCACATCATCAAGCAATGCTCTTATTTTTAATGCTAGCACAATGAAGAGTGTCAACATTATCACAATAAACAACATAGTGTCACTGCTTGTGCTTGCACCCACGTTCCCACCTCAAGTAATTAAACCATTACACAAAGTGGCAGTATGCTAAATTTACATGTGTGCATATCCTTTATTTGCATAATGTAAATGAACATAAAAACACTTTTAAACACTCAACCTTATATAAAGTTACTGTTGTTGTACTTTTCCTTTTATAGTTGATTTTCAAAAAGTTTCAGTCCAGTACCTGAATATTTTCAGGGAATTTTTGTTATTTAAGCTACTAAACACTGACCCGTGAATCATTCA